CTGAAGCCCTCACCAAAATTAAATCCTGGATCCGCTAGTGCATCCAATCAAAGTTATTTCACATTTGTTCGTCCCACACAATTCCCCATTTAATTTCACTGAATTTCTCCTATAGGCTGGAAAATTTCAGTGCTTGAAAGAAAGAGTCATTAGACTTTACCTAAGTTCTATCACCATATGAACATTTCAGTTGACGAAATAACTCCACTTTCAACATTTTTCAGTAAAGCCATTTTGGTGATAATTCTAATTGGAAAATTTATAATATATGTACACAAAGTGAGTTAATTGATTCCAGAGTAGATGATTGCTGTGTTGAAATATAAAACTGTGAATAAAGATATAAATATTACTAAAATTAATGATTAAAAAATGTTGAAATTTGAGTTAGTCATTCTGTCAACTGAGAGGCTCATATCATTCTCGATGTGCCAATATGGATTGGTATCTATATTGGCTTGGTATAAAACTACCGTTTCACCTAAAGATTTCAATTTTAGTATATGTACCGCCGAAGTGCCATAAGACAGTGCAAGGATTAAGCTTGTGAATATATTTATGGATATGTATTATACTTATGTATGTAATAGTTCAAATAAAATTATGGGGGATCAGAAAAATAAAATTAAAATAAACGAAGACTTCATAATTAGGAGAAACCAGTATGTTTTTCTGATTAGTTAGGGCAGTTGATACATACATGTAGATGTTACAAAGAAAATAAATAATAGAGAGAATCACTTTATTATCATAAAAAGGTGCTGCCCAATTACATTGGGTTGCTTTAAACACAGCATACTTATTACAGACAATTTTCCAAAACTATTATACAATTATATATTATTAACAATATGTATGAGCATAGTATACATTTTTTTTAATCTATATATATTTTTTTATTATAATTTTTTTCCTATATTTTTATTTATTTTTTAAAATAAAAAACCTACCACCACAGTCCATTGATGGTATGAAAAAAACGAATTTATTAGAAAATGTAAACAAATGTCAACGATTTATGAATGGGATTCTCGCGATACGTGCATGATTTATCCATGAATTGGCAATGGGAGGATAAAATGAGATGACTGGTGTAGAGATTGACATGTCTTGCAACGAGACTTGCAGGAACTCGAAGGAATGTTAACCTACATACTGTTGTAAGCTTCATAGCAACATCTTTACAGTAAACATAAATTATCTTCTAAATTCTAAATTTAATTTTGGATTACTCTTATCTCGACTTCTAGATAATTTGGCGGGCTTTTCCTCTAAAAACTTTCTCTCTAGATAAAACGCGGGCTTTTCCTCTAAAAACTGAATAAATAAATCAATTTTCAGATTGGTTCGTTTTGATCTAACCCGACTGGTGCTGTATTATTTAGGTCGATTTTCAAAGTGTTTACTGTCTAATATATTGTAGAAAGTTAATAGTCACTGAAACCATTAATTTGCATAAAGGTACTCCTTTTTTTTTTCTAATCGCTGAAAAGTTAAAAAAAAAATATCAGAACTTTTTTAAAGAGAAAGCTCTCCAAACTCTCTTTCTAAAGGCAAGAAGTAAGCCTTATTAATTATTTCTATTTTCTTAAACCTGGATTTAGTGCCTATAACTAATAAATCAGAAAGATAATCGGTAATAGAAAATTCGGTAATCTAAGATTAACTCAGTTTTACAAGTCTTAGTGTTAGACAGACCGCTTTTAGTGTCGTGGTTTACACTGCTTTCTGTTTTTCATATTATTTATGTTTGTGGTAAGGTTTTAATCATTGGACAAGTTTTTGTTGCTAAAATAGTTTCAAAATACCGTTTATGTATGTAAAAAAATAAGTTCCATGAAAAACCGTTGAATCTTTTAATTTTATAAACAGTAATAAATAATAAAATTATAGTTTTTTAAAACACATTTATTGAAAACTTTGGAATGATTTGCTACGATATTGAACATTTATAATGAAATTCATTCATGTTTTTTTTCTATTATAATATATATATTTTTTTATATACATGAACTAGATATAAAAAGGATAAATTATTACCAGGTGAATATTGGTTGAAAAAAAAAAAAAACTTACACAGACAGCAATATACATTTATCATAATATATTGCCGTGTAAAAAAAAGGAGAAAACCCTGTACTACTAGGCCCGTTAATGGCGTTACTTTTAAGAAAAATATAATGACGTAACACTTTATAGAAGCTGGGTGTGCCACAGTGGGTTCCAAGCCTCTGAGTCGATCCACTGACATACATGGGAATAATTAATACAAATATTACGATTAAAATAATCAGAATTATTTATTTGGTTTGTTTTCATTTTTTACTTCTTTACAAAATCCTATTTTACCAGAAATTTATAATTGTTTAAGTATCAAAGCTGTAATTTTATTTTTCTAATGAACTTTTTAGGTTGATTGAGCCCTTTGAAGACATTGCCATACGGAGGCTGAATCTGTGATGACGACTATATTACACTTTTTACAGTGTGGGTTATTATGTTCTACAGCCTTAAAAACAGCAAAAAAGTTCTGCATGGAAAATACTGAAATTGTTTTGGATAGAATAAGACAGATTGATCTTTTTTGTGGGTCATAATCCTCTTTATTTTATATCTGGAAACCACACACCTCCCAAATTTCCCGTCGTACTGTCTCTATCCTGAAACAGTTTAACCGTCTCTGCTATCTCCTTCCATATAAATCCCGACAACTCCTGGTTTCCTCCCCTGTGTTCCCCCACTTCGACTATGGCTGTCTGGTGTACGGCGGACTCTCGGGAGAATTCGAGGGCAAACTTAAACGCCTGATGAACTGCGCAATACGTTTTGTTTTCGGAATCTCAAGAGGTACGCCGAGTATTACACCAAGTTGAAGTGGCTCTATCCATCCAACCGCCGTCTATACTTCCTTGCTACCTTTCTATACCAAGCCATCAGAACTCAGCGACCTTCCTATATTTTTCACAGCCTACAATTTAAATATTCCATCCTGTCCCACTAGATCCCTTACTTCTGACCTCTATCCACCTCCTCACCGAACTGCTGCGTTTGACAAATCCTTTATAATTCAAGCCGTCTCCACCTGGATTACCATCCCTCCCGATACCCGACTTGCCCAATCAGTTTCCTCATTTTAATTTCTCCTTTTTAAGCACCTACTTCTTTCCCAACACGATTGATCATGAAAAGTAGATAAGAGAACTTTTTAAGTTCCCCCAGAAATGGTTTTGTTTAATTATGTTATTTTATTTTCACATGTTTGTATCGTATATATCTATATGTATTTTGTGATTTTGTTTTATTTTTCTTCCAATATTTTTATTTTAATGCGCATTGTAAATATTTAATTTAATTTTATGGCCACACAGGCATTTCCTCTGTATCTATAATTTGTCCTAAAGGGACAAAAGTCCCCAGGATAATAAAAATCTATTTTCATTTCATAAACGGTTATTGAGCAGGTATTGGTGGTCTTAGACAGTCAGTATACATTTTTATTTTTTAGAATTTTTATCATGATTACTTGATTACGATTACGGTAATCTTGATTACATGATAATAGAGATCTGATTATTGATTTTAATCGGGTAATCGTGTAGAATTTCTGCTATATAAAATTGGCACGGTCATCAAGTTTTATTTTCGGTTTGAATCATGTAATAATTGATTCCGATTTTTTAACAGCTTTTTCAATAAATAATCTAACAAAGCCATATACAAGTATTATTAAGGCTACAAGTATTCGTTCATAAAATGCATACACAAATGAGAGAAATAAATCTAAATAATTAAAAATACTAATACTGATAAAAAATAATTAAAATAAAATAATACAGGAAAAATAACGTTAATCTTCTCACACGCATTTAAACCTATGTACAATATTTGCATTCGGTCAGGAAATTTCTTGCAAAGTAGGGGTTGACACTTTTATGGAACTTTTTTAAAATGAGCTATTTTAATAATTTCCGTAAAACATTTTAAGACAAAAGTTACATTTTAACAGTTAATGTGAAATTAAGGGGGCGGGGTGGCCGAATGGGCTAAAGCGTTTTCACAGCTCCGCGAGTTGCCTGGCAACCGGATTATAGATTTGAAAAGATTTAAAAAAAGTACGAGTTCGCGTCCCCGTGCCGTAGGGGATTTCAAATTCCCCGCCCTCACCCCCCGGCCCGGGAAAATCCCGTATAGCCTAAAAGGCGAGGTAGGGAAGAACAAAAAAAAAAAAAGAAATAGTTAATGTGAAATTTTTAATTTAAATTTAATTTTTTTTGTAATAAAATTCCACGTTTATGGTAAAATTTAAAATTATATATATATATATATATATATATATATATATATATATATATATATATATATATACATGTATATTAATATTCAACTTAAATAAATCTTTTACCTATTTATTTATTTAGACATAGAATAATCTGTCTCGTGGATAATAATTATTATGATATATGAATACATTCACACCATATATACACAGAAAGTATACACCATAGAATATACACCATATGTATAGAATATATATATATATATATATATATATATATATATATATATATATATATATATATATATATATATATATTATTTCGTTTCAAGCTTTTTGTCCCACATATGGAAGACAAAGCAGAACTCAACGAGATCGTAGTACTATCTTCTAGCAGCATTGCTGCTATTGGAAGCCAGTGGAGATTGCAAAAGGCCACTAGAGCCACAGATGCTCAAGAAGACCATGGACAATTTAAATTAAGTTGACGAAACTTGGTCATATTTTCGAGAATAACCATGTGGAAGTTAAAAAATTTCTTCTTCTAAACCTCATCTTTCTTTAAAAACTTTAGTTGTGTGCCAGATGCGTTGTAAATAGTGATATAACGTTTTAGAGTATGTAGAAAGTTTAAAAAATCTAATTATTTTCGTATTCATATCATCATTATTTTTAAAGTATTATTATAACTTGAACTTCTACTTACGACAACTGATGTTCCCAGGGACGGCACGACACAGGCTTCAACGGAGGTGACGTGAGGACCCCAAACATGGATGCGCTGGCCGCTCAGGGCGTCATCATTAGCCGGCACTACACCCTTCCATCCTGCACACCCTCCCGCGCAGCTCTCATGACTGGCCGCTACCCCATCAGGAGTGGTAAGTAACTATCGTATTCAACGTCCAATTGGTTTGGCAGATCATAGAGTAAGTATCTGGGAACGCAGTAAAGGACCAACATGCTCGCACGCGTCTGGGCAGTACCACGGTGGTATGCCACGAAGCACCTTCTCGATGAAACCATACATGGCCGTAGTTAACCTAATCTAACCCTTAAATTGACGAAGGGCAGATGTATTATGTACTATTTAGGGAGTATACGCAGCAACTCTCCAAAGTTTCATGACGATAAGATTAATGCTAAAGTAATGCATAAAGAACAAACTGATAGTTTCGAGAAAGAATGTTATTTCAACCATTTTCTGTCACAATCGTTACATCAGTTTTGGCGCTATTATAAGGACAAACCTTGACAAACATATATATATATATATATATATATATATATATATATATGTATGTTATACTGTATGTACTTATACATATACTTGTTGAAATATAAAATAGAAGGTCAGAAACAAAAAACCTAAACTAAGTGTATGTTTGGTTCGTCGAGAAGGTACTTGGTGCGGCCCGGACGTTTTGCGGGCATGTGTTTCCCCACTTTGAACCTATTTAATTTAATTAGTATGATAAAAAAAAAAAATAACGGAAAACCATACAGTGCTCATGCAACTAACAATAACCTTTTTTTTTACAGAAATAAAAATCAATAGTCCTTAGTTTCGGACCCGTTTTTATCAAATTATTAACATACGCTCGAAACTTCGTTGAAATCTTCATCTCATCGTAACCTACACCTATTTTATTTACGAAAATCCTTAGAATTGGAACATTTTCTCAATCTGGAGATCGTCAAACTTTGTTTATTTCATAAGGTACTAAAAACTAGTAAATATTCATTTCCTTTCCATTTGATTCGTAAGATAATTTGAACTCGAGAAAAAAATGTGCCTTCAAAAATATTCAGCCGTTTGGCATGTCCTACACCCCCAAAATAACGAGATTGTGTGGGCCAAACGGCACAATTTTTATGTAGGCCACATTTTTTCTCGATTTCGTGATTAAATAATTTTACGATTCAAGTGGAAATGAAATGGGTATATACGAGCTTTTAGTACCTAATTAAATATACAAAGTTTGCCAATCTACAGATTGAGAACGCATTAGTTCCAAGAGTTTTCGAAAATAAAATGGTTGTAGATTACGACGAAATAAAGCTATTCATGAAGTTTCAGATGGATGTTAATAATTTGATATGAAGGGGTCTCTAACACGGCTACAACTTACGAACTATTGTACGAATGCATAAATGATAAAATAATGCATTATGGTATATTTGATGGTACATTGATAAAGTAATAGACTGAAGTTAGGAGAGCTAAGGCTTTCTCTTCCTTGTACACAACATCCCCGCCTAACCTCAAGGTTCTCCCTTAATTTGTTTACCATTAGTTAATGCTGTAAAGTCATATAGAGAATTTAACTTACACAAGCACCTTAGTGCGAATTGATATGAATCAGTGAAAAACTCACCAAAAGAAATAATAGAAATGTTAGGTTATAATTGTTTGAGCTCAACAAATAGAATTATTAATAAATACATTCAAATTAGAAGCAATATTAGTACAACTATTTTATTATTATTTTTTTATTATATTAAAATATCTAGATAAATAAAATAAAGATTTTGTCTGTAAATTGAATAGAATCAACTCGTTGTATGATATATTTCCGTTTCATACATTGCAGACACCAAATCCAATTTAAAAAAAATGTCTGTCTGTCTGTATGTCCGGATTGAAACGAAATTTTGTCAGAGGTAAGCTCAGCAATGGCTTATTGTACACTTCTGAAAATTTGACACAGTATTAAGGTTTGCATGACTTAAAACATAAGCTTTAAATAAAAACAAAATATTGAGTAGAACTGAAGTTATGAATTATTGAGAAATTTGTCTAAAGATCTCGGTTAATGTTGATAATAAATGTTAATAATAAACATATGTTTATAGATTAAAGAACATCTATATAAATAAAATAAAGGTTTTGTCTGTATATTAAACAGAATCAACGCGGTTCATGATATCTTTCCGTTTTATACATTACAGACACCAAATCCACTTTTCAAACATTTTATGTCTGTCTGGATGTCCGCATTATCCAACGAAATTTTGTCAGGGTAAGCTCGGCAATGGCTAATGGTAGATTTTTAACATTTTATGTCTGTCTGGATGTCCGCATTATCCAACGAAATTTTGTCAGGGTAAGCTCGGCAATGGCTAATGGTAGATTTTTGATATTATATTTAGGTTTGCTTAACTTAAAATATAGGCTTTAAATGAAAACAAAATATTGAGTAGAACCAAAGTTATGAATTATTGAGTAATTTCTCTAGAGATTAGGTTAGGCAGTTACTTACTTCGATTCCCATCCCAACCTACTCTACCGCGAGCCAAATTTAAAAGTTGTACTGCTCAACTGATGAAAAAAATTATCACAACTCAACGAGAAAAATCCGGAATACCGAACATCTGTAACGCGTTGTCACATAAAACGGTTAAAACACACTCATTTTTCAATTTTGTCCGATCTTCCCGTTCAAGGTGTCATTCGATTTAACTTCCCGAGACTAACAAATGTTGTCGTATACATTTTTAGATTTAACGGAATAGCTGAAAATTCACCCCGCCCGCCACAATATTCAGATCAAGTTTTAATTTTACACGGGTGTAGGTGACTCAATGTTCAATGTTATTTTATTTATTTTGCCAGCGATAAACTCAGCAGAGTTTAAAGAAGTGGAGAGACTACAACTTGTTTTGATTATTTCAATCGACTCCACAATCTCCTGGCTTCATCATAACTGAAAATTAACCACTTAGCTAATTTTAATGGATTGGTGGTGGGTCGGATAAAGTTATGTGATACCTAAAAAAATAGCCGAATAACAAAGTTTTTGTTATAACTATTGCGAAACCTTGACTTCCATAAGCCCCGCCATAAAAAATTTCAAAACAACCGCTCTCCTCTCTCCCGACCCAATTTTATGAAATTGAATTTGGTAACGTAAATTTTCTCATTGCAAACATACTTGACTGATGACAGATTATTTTTAAGCCGAAATTGATTTTTTGTATGTAATAATATTTATTTTTTAAAATATATTTTGAGTACTAGATGGTTGTTTTTTTTTTCAGTGAATTGTTGTACGAAAGTTAATTGTTGTTTTTTAAAAATTGTTTTTGCCTTCACCAATATGCAATTTTATATGTTGGAATATAAATAAAACACTGTGATGTGGAAATGAGTACGGAACTAGTGAATATATAAAATTTTCGAAATATATTTTTGGATCAAAGAAAAATGAATCTAATAAATAACTCAGAATATTGTAGACGTAATAACATGTCGACATCTGAAATGATATGCAAAGTTGTTGGCGGATAACGAATGATCGAATTCCTAAAAACCTAATATAACCTGAATGGTAAACTATTGAGGAGTACGATGATGAAAAAAATGTCTTAAGATTGACAGATTTCAGGTTTGAAGAGATTCAAAGAAAATAGAGAAATTTTTTTTTTAAAAATGTATCGATGTTTTTTAGATAAATCGAAATAATAATTCAATTCATCGAAAATAGAATTAAAAATTTCAGGTATCATATTTTTAATCTTTGAAAAAATCAGGGATATAAATATGGTACAATAATATCGAAACATCAATAAAAATATCAATATTTCGGGCTAAGACTTTGAACTTTAAAAAAAAGGGAAACATTGTATTGCAGTATTGGATTTTTAATAATAGTTGTTCAGATGTAGTCAGTTAAACTTTTTCATTATATTAATACTATTTGTCTATTCACTAGGAATACAAAGCAAACCCTTGCCAGCAGGAGTACCCCTTTCCTTGCCATTGACGGAGAAAATATTTCCACAGGTAATGCCATTCTATTTTCATTGTCTGCTATTATATAAACATAAGATTAATTAATAATAAATAGTATATTTAAACTTTTTAAAGGATTATTCAATAACGAATAAATGTGATGAAATAATGAATTTATTAATAAATATAACATGTTAAAAAATACTTTCATTTATAGTACTTTCATCAGTTGGGATATGAAGCTCATTTATTAGGCAAATGGCACCTGGGCTACGAGACCCCGAGCCACCTTCCGACAAGAAGGGGTTTCGACTCCTTTTTCGGCTACTTGAACGGTTACGTCAGCTACTACGACGCCACTCATTCACAATCGGTAGGTAAAATATATATCCATGCATAATAAAATATATATCCATGCATAATAAAATATATATCCATACATAATAATATATAAATTTATCTTATTAGATGAGTGATAGAATGATCAGAGAATCCTGTGCATCCAGCAGGATCGATTGCCATTTTTTGACAGTGGCGTAGCTAAGGAGGACTGCAAGCGTTTTCATGTGCTTTTTTTTCCTTCTAAAAACTATAACTATTTATCCTTATTACTTAGGCGCAGCGTTAGCTCCCAATATTTCGGGAATTCAATCTTAAATATGCTCATAAAACGAAAATTAGGTTCAGGATAAATAAGTAAGTAACGCTTAATAGATTGTTTTTCATCTGATTGAAATGTCTTTGCAATACATTCTTTGCCCTCCCCTCCCACAGTCTCTTCACCTTAACGTGTGACATCGGTTGCATTGGCGTAAATAGTTGAAGAAGAATTTTTCCTTTCAAAGAAAAGACGATGGCTTAAATATAGATTAAGTATAAAAATGGTATTTTTGTGAAACTGCACTAAAGTTAAATTTAAAGTGTATTTTATTTTATTTTATTCAAACCCTACCCTGCCGATAAGGCAATACGGGTGTTATCCAGCAACGCATGCGTTACAATTCACTGCTGCATTCAGACCAATTACATTTATTTTATTTTTCAGCTGTGCACACAGCCTGCTCTAATTTCTTTTTAGCCAGCATCCTCTTTCACCCTTTCTGGCGGTCTTCCGGGTGCAGGTTCATTTCTTCTGCCCAATGAAAAGTGGGTTGAACCAACCAGTTCCTTCCACCCGTATACCTTTTAATACGGATACTATTATGTATTTGTTAAATAATATCTGAACCAGGTATTAGTATGTTTAGGAAATAGCACTGTTAATGTGATTTAGTCCAAATATGTGACTAAGTGGGAGAGGAGAAAAGTAGCCTAATAGACATATTGAATTAGACTGAGAGAGAGAGACCTTAAAAATTATTTAGGCTAGTAATTAATAGATTTATGCAAAGCAATAATTAATTTATTTCTCCCCAAAATGTCACAAATCACGTTTATGCATAGAATTACGGTTCCCATAGAATTATTCTATTGTATTCAATTGATGTACATACGTCGAATCTTATTCTTCTAGTTATTTTTTATAGTTTATGTTACGGAAATTTTACATGTATCATACCAGAGTGTTTATTTTCGATGAGGCATTGACCATGTATTTAGATATAGATGAGAAACCAAATGTAAAGTATATTTATTCACCTGTCTTTGCAGGGAGTCAACGGGCGCGATATGAGAAGGAACGAAGAAGGAGCGGCCCTCGAGGTCTACGGCAAGTACCTGACCAAAGTCCTCTCCGACGAAGCTGTCTCCGTGATCGAGAAGCATCCGGGCCGCGGCGGCTTGCTGCTGTTCCTGATGCACGCGGCGCCGCACACCGGCAACTTGGCCTATCCCAGGGAGGCTCCTCCGGGCCTAGCAACCAATGCCACTGATCGGGAGCAGCTTAGAGGTCAGTAGAGTACCTTATAGAAGTTTTCATATAGGATAACATTAGGTGGAACACCGAAGGTTTGGGATCATTGGCTAAACGTTGCCCAGTTGCTGTAGTCGAAGAGTATGGCACCAGGAAAGTGGTACGTCTTTACTATCTGGCCAACATATACAATCCACGAAAACACGGGTTATTTCCCAAAAATTTTCCAAAGATATCAGATCTGGAAACATGTTTATTCAACTCCATGTATAATGAGTAAAGCGGTTCTTAAATCAGATTAGATGATTCAATAAGTAAAGAGGTAACTGATCTAATAAAAGGAAGTAACAAGGGCTTAGGGAGTTGGAAATATTTATTCACTGAAAATGGTTACCATTCTGACTCCGAGGCGCATTTAAAACACAATAAAGAGTGAATATTATTACTCACAGGTAAAGAAGAGACATCTATTGATTCAAGAAAATATATTCTACTATCTTTCTCTCCTTAAAATACTAAGGACTACATTTTTTTTTAAATTGGTTTCACCGAAATTTTAAGAAGTATTCTAGTCTATGGTGGTTCAGGTTGTTTTAAATTATTTTTACAAGAACAATAAATACCTTGATATGGAAATTGGAAGTTAGTTTATCTGAACATTTTTAATCACTAGAGCCACTGTCTTACTATGGAATAGTATACATCCCACAGTTTCAGTCTATATAAATTCTTTTATATTTATTAATGTATTTTCAGTACCACTATTCACCAATAAAGAATCGAACAATATAAACCAATTAAATAAAAAAATATTCTAACTAAGCCTATTTTTTCAGGAATCAAACGCATTATTTTATTTAAACTTTTAGTTATATTTTTTCATATTAACAGTACGATATTTACATATTTACAGAAACAGTGAGACACCTTGACAATTCAGTCGGAGATGTTGTAGCAGCCCTGAACAAGAAGGGGGTCCTCAACAACACGATCATAGTCTTCTTCTCCGACAACGGTGCCTCGACATTGGACGAGTTGTATCACTACGATAATTTTGGTTCTAATTGGCCACTCAGAGGGGTGAGCGTATAATTTATGTTATATGAATTTTATAATAAGGAGCTTATATTTAAAAATCTTTAGTATAATTTTACATGAACTCGTGAAACATATCAACAGCCAAAGGAAAAGCTTATAAGTACAAAATCTAAAATTATTCTTAAAATGAAATAATCTGCCTATTTTACTTTTTTAAATTAGATTTTTCGTACAATTTTTACAGCATACTTAAGTTAATGTTGCAATGTTTGAAATAACGTGATTATTTTTCAGCGAGGATGTCGATATACACTGACAGGCAAAAAATTCCACCCACTTGATTTTTTCATGTTTTCATCTAAAAATATTTCTGCTTTGGATTGCTCTATTGTTTTTAATTAATACATAGGTAATTTTTTTGTTTGTTTTAAATTCGGAATGTTAATATAGAGGACAATAACCTTTAATCCTTAATTCAATGAAATGATTCTAGATTCCGATGTTTACTTTCTATGGAATCAAAATGTTTATTCAGTATCATTAGTTCAGTGCCGTTTCTTGCAGCACATTTCTTAGTCTCCGGCTTTTAATTTTTTCAATATTAAGTTTTAAAATGCCTCTTAGTGCTGAGGATGTTGCGCGTAGTGTGGCACTTATTGATGATGGACGTTCCATTAGATATGCAGCTAATGCCATCGGAGTTCCATATGAAACTTTACGAGACGCCGTCAGGCGTTTTCGGAAAACTGCTTCTTACAATAGAAGGCCCGGTTCTGGACGACCTAGGGTAACAGATCCACGGGATACCCAGTTTTTGACTTTGAGAATTTTACGAAATCGGCACCTTACCAAGCGATTCATCGGCTCGAATAAGTGTGCCAATTTCTGAACGTACCGCTCGGAGAAGATTAAATGAGTATGGATTAATTACTGGCTTTTCGTCCAGTAAGAGGACCAGAGTTGACTAGAACTCACAGGGTAACACGGCTGGCTTTTGCACAGCCATTGGACTATGGACGAATGGAGTGCTGTACTTTTTACAGATGAGTCAAGATTCGCTTTTCGATCTCCAGACGGGCGTGAAAGGGTATGGAGAAGAAGAAACGAAAGATGTGCAGCCTGTAATATTTCCCAGAGCCAATCTTTCCAAAGTCGTTCCTTAATGGGTAACAAGTGGGTGGAATTTTTTGCGTGTCAGTGTATATTCTTCCTTTCACACACCTAGAGGTGTCCATCCTCTCCAATATCGATGGTGCATGGCCCTAAGTTAAGGAAGTATGTTCAATTCTTTGCCATCGCATAGTTTTCTCTCTTCCTTGCAGGAGAAGATGTCCAATCGCGACGGCGGAGTCCGGACGCCATCCTTCATCTGGTCCCCGATGTTGAGGGAGCAGGCGAGGGTCAGTCAGGAGCTCTTCCACATCACAGACTGGCTTCCAACGCTCTACACCGCAGCTGGTCGATATGCATATAGATATTAATCCATTCCTGGTTGGAATAACCCTGGGTCTATAACAACACTATAGTGTCCGTATTGTAGTGAATGACTAACTTTTGGCTGTGATAAACGACTGTTTGAATTAGTGAACGTAATTTGAGTAAACCAAAGTTAATCCTATAGTGTATCAATTGTGGTGGTATATAGTTGTGACTGTTGTTACGTATGTGTTAACAAATTGACCAAATGCTTCATTTATAATTTTTTACTAAAATAATTAACAGCTATTTGGTTTAGTAATTTAGGCTAATATTGATGGATAATACTTAGACTTATTAAATATAAACTGCATGTATAGGATTATATGGTTATTTAAGTATGTGGTTTAAACTTGTACGGATATGGGTACTATGTAATTGTATATTATGTAATAGTTAAATGTAATTTTACAAGGATATAAGCTCGGAAACGGTCCTGACAGATTTTGGAGATTATGAGAAGGTGTTTGGGAAATCTTTCCTCAGGCGCCTACAATCCATGCTCTGGTTCAGAAGTTTACAAAAGCCTTCTGCATCAATCCTCAAAAATTGGAGGGAAATATCAAATTATTTTAATATATCTTTATCAACAGATTAATTGGCTAATTAATTTTGTAAATTGTATTTAATATCATATTGAAGTTATTAATAACTTAGCATGCACTTATATTTTAACTAATAATTATTTGTAGTTGTTACTAACAGGGTGTGTTTTTTCTTGTCTTCTGATCTGAATGTGTGAAGAAAAATTGTAAAATTACTAATTATTTTCATAGTTTTAATTTTTATGTAATAAGCTTTTGAAATTAACTTTAAGATTAATAGGTTATCCAATACCACTTATATATGTGTTAAAGTTTGTCTATATTGAAAAATGTTTCGTATCTTAGCCTTGAATCATAGCACAGTCTTTCAAAGGAAACGTTACACAATCCCGAATGTTTTAATCGGCCTTTTCGTTATCTAATTAAGTAATAATTTAATGATCGAAGTTTAGTTAGATTTTTGATGCGATAGATCATAGATGATCTTAGCGATGATTATAGAAATCTGCTCTATTAGTTAGTATAGATATAGATAGGATTGATTTCAACTTATGATTGAAACATATTGAACAATTTCATTAATCTTATAAATATTTAGAATAAACTTGAAAATTAAAGTTAATATTTTAAGAATATAAACATAATGCCGTGTGGTTAAGGCCTAGTGAAATCGAATTCGAAGTTTTTCTCACTACCGACGAACTAATGCTTTTTTTCATTTAATTTATTCCATTATAGATGCAGTATCTTCACTGGCTATATAGACATATCTTTTAACAATATATTGTTCGTTAGTAACTTAAATACAGGATTCAAAACAATTTCTCGAACATAATTTAAGTATAGTAATAATTAATTATAGCAAATTGTAAATAAGATTGAATGATGCTTCCAAATTGTGAAGATTTGTAATACATATCGGGTTGGCAAATAAGTCCTTTCGGTTTTTTAAAGTGAAATAAAACTTAATGTATTATAGACATAAAATTTATTTTAAACTACAATATATTGACCATTATTTAATATGACTTTTCAGTTTGCTCATAGAATGTCTGGAGTTTATTGTTAAAAAAACTGATCCAAGTGGTTTTTGATCTCCTCCTCCTATTGCAATTTCGTTTCATTCATGGAGTTCTGCAGAGACTGGAATAAGTGGTAGACACTTGGAGCTTGGTCTGGTGAATAGGGAGACGGGGGACCAAGGTTTCATCCAAAGCTCAATAATTTATTGCTAGTGACCAATGAGGTTTGGGGACACAAGGCCTTTCCGATCAATAATAACTCTACAGGATGTTCTCCAAATTCTATATTACTATATCCGCTGGAAAGCTGAATTATTGTTGTTCAAAGCCGTATGAATGTTTTTTGTTTTTTTTATTTAGCGCCTACATAAGGAATAAATTAACAAAAACTTCTTATAGGTTTTTTTTTTTTTAATCTCCATTTGTAGTTTGTATAAGAGGGTCCTGTTGATGTAATTTTGTGTAGTTCATGTGGCCTTAAATTCTTGCTAAATTTCTTGTAGATAGCTAAAGTAGTATTGAAGTTATAACATTTTTTGTGATTTTGGAAAAAAAATCATGTGAGGGACCCAAACATTAAGCCTGGAAACATAGCCGAGCTTGTGCAAATGGTTTTCTATGCTTACGTGCGACGCATTTAGGGCCATAGCAATCTCTCGCACTGATTGGGTGGGACTTTGATCAACAATGTCCTTAACATTGGTCGTTTCAATTAAATGTGTGCGACCAGACCGTTGAGCATCATTGATGTCAACATTTCCTGAACGAAATTTGGCAAACCTATTTTGACAGGTGCATTCGGTTGAGGAATCATCCCCATTAAATTTTTCTATGAGCTTCTGTAGAACGCTTACCTTTTTTAAAAATAATACAACAAAATATGGCAATAATGAATGATATTTTCTTTCATATTCACAGTGCAATAGCAAACTTAATACTAAGCTAGTTTCAACAAGAATTAGCAGATATAGTTGTTGACATATTACAAACAGAATAAACAATCCACCTTAGGGATTAATTCATCAGATAAGAAGTGTATAATAGCGACATAAAAATAAACAGAAAACCGAAAGGACTGATTTGCCAACCCATAACAATTTCAGAAATAGGTACTATAAATATATTCTGTATTTTATCATCAGTATTTAAGGATAAAAGAAAGTAAGCAGAGAGTTAAAAAATAAATAACTCATAGTGATTTTTTTTTTTTTAAATAAAAAGTAATTACGCCTACAGGAGGAAAGCTATCAGACATATCCGGTTCAGTGACTATAGACGGAGTTGACCAATGGGGATTCCTAACAACTTCAGCGGCACCACCGAGGACCGAAATTTTGGTGGATATCAATGATGTCTACGGATCAGAAAGTTACATAATCGACAACTGGAAATTAATTAAAGGTAAGAAAAAAGCGGCAATTTTAAACCTTAACGTAGGTTAAATCTGATTGTTTTCGATATTGATAACAACATAAATACATCATTTAGTTAAAAATAGAAACTCTTAACTGATACTACAAAGAAAATATAAGGAAAGTTTTCTTCACCTTAATTGTGATTCATTTCTTTGTTTTAAAAATTAGAATTGCCAATGTCAGACAGGAAAGAATAGATAAGAAAACCTATTTTGGGTTAGTAAATTAATGAAATAATAAGAATAAGATAAATTGATATTAAACAGGTTTTTCTACTTAAACTCATATACATGGCATAAAAGCTGGCAGACGCATATGGAGTAGAGATTTCGGAAAGAAAAAAAAACAGCGTTTGTGTAGTAACGCTTGCCAGTTTGCTGAATGTCAAAACTGGTGTTGAAATATAACTGCTAACGGCATATGACGGTGGTTCATAGGCATTTTGAGATAATTACGTCAGAGAAGTTCAATAACTGGATATCCTAGGACAGACATGCAAAAACATTTTAGTGAGTTGTCCGTAAAATAATGAAGGATTTTAATTTTAAAAGAAAGGTTCACAACTGTTTCATTAAATCCAACTAGTAACAAATAATAACAAAATAAAAACATACTGGCAGGACATATGTCGGTAATTCCAATACCGTAATGTTATGCGTGCTGGAGTTGTATATTGTATATAAAACAGCATGAAATGGAAGATTAACAAAACTAATAAAGGGCGCTCATTAGGAGAGAAATTGACTTGCGAATTACACCTCATCATACATTAAATATTTAAAAAATGTCTGCTCAGATTAGAAAATAAATTAATCAACTTTAGCAAAAGTTTAGTCGTTTCTTCGATAGGATAAAGTATATGATTCAGATAAACCCTAAATCTAAAACTATAAATAAAATAATAAAAGGCTTAGCGAACCCGAAGGTTCGATGCCGACACCACCAATCGCTTATTACAGACCTCCCTCCACCGTTCGCCGTCCAAACCCAGTCCCTTCAGATCGACTTTAATGCAATCTTCCCATCTTCGCTTCGGTCTACCCCTCGGACGCTTACCATTCGGCACAGCAAATATTAACCTTTTAGGAATTCTCTCGTTACTATAAGTCCAAAAACTTTACAAGCCCATTTGATTCGCGGGAATGGAATTACCTCGATTATATTACTCGGATACAGTTCACGCAATTCAGCGAAAACTAAAACTATGTGGGGTCTAAATCCATAGAATCCTTGAAATGTGGGTCATTTCATAAGAAACATATATTTCCTAAACATGTAACAACATAGAGGCAATCATCTTGAGGGCAAGCTAAAGGAAAACAATTCTTTGAGATAAAATCTGGCGAATAAGAGCTATACCGAAGTCTTCATATCCCTTCAAAGGCCATAGTCAATGAACAGTATTGTGTTTTGTAAATATGCATCACGAAAATTCGGGATTTTTTATATTTTTATTTTATCTTCCCGGAAGAATAAACATTGAAATTAATGCATGTACCCAATTTGGTATATAATAATTAATTAGAAAATATTTTTATTGATAATATCTCCCTCTTTCAGAAAAGACATATTTTCTGAAAATCTAAGATTGATAATACATTTATTTTATAGACTCTCCTCCGAATCAGCCAATTGCATTCGCAAGTAAGTACTACGGAGACAGCGGAGACGATTTCACCTACAACGAACTCGAAGTAGACATCAGACGAGCGGTGAACCAGTTACCGCAAACTAAGGTGAGTTATGCCGAGGTGAGGAAGAGAAGTGCCCTGAAGAGGAGGTGCGACACCACCGAAGAAGCTCTGAAGGTGGACTGCCACTCCAAGTACTGCCTCTACGACATCCTCGAAGACCCATCCGAGTGTAAGGATTTGGCGAGCAGCCATCCGGACATCGTGAAGCTGCTATCGGGCCGCCTGAAGGACTACAGGAAGGTCATGGTACCAACCGCCAACTTCAGCTACGACCCGCGAGCGGACCCCAAGAACTGGGACGACTATTGGTCGCCCTGGATGGAGGACGAACCTGGGTCTGGTGCCAGCGCTTCTTTACTTCTTCCAGAACTATTGATTTTACTGTTGATTACCAATATATTGATCTGCGTTTTTAGTTAGGCAAAAAGAAATTATCATTAGGTACTATATCATTTATGATAAATCTACGGAATTATCTGAATGGTTTAATTTTTAAATCTGTACCATCATTAAAAAAAATAAATTGTATATATATTCTTCTATTTAAAAATAAGAATTTAACTGTGATAAAAAAAAAATATGATAAATGTGTGGTCTCATATAACAGATGGACGTATGTCATTTTTAAAAAGTTGAGAAAAAAGCCTGTTATATATATCCAATTCTAATAATTTTGTTTTATGATTCAACTTGAATATTCCTAAATGAAAACATCAGAAACAGTTGGTAATCAATCTATAAAACTAAAATTTACTATTTTTTTTCGCTTTCTGAAAATTTCAGGGACATCCATCTTTGATATGAAGCCACTCAAATAACTGTGATTAAAAAAATTACATGAAATGTTAATGGTTTGACCATGACCAGAAAGAATCTCTTCAGTAATTGAAGATCGTGTAAATTAAGATGATACCTTAAAGAAATTAATCTAACTTATGAATTATAACGTGCGTTAACCTCGATGGCATCTGTTCTAAATTATATGTATACAATACTAAGAGCATAATCATCTTATAACATTTTATTTTATTTATTAAATAATAATAGAATCTGCCACATTGAAGGGCAAAAAGAATTAAGGCTACAAGTACTCATTCATACAATATGTAAATGCAGGAAGGAAATCAATATAAATAATTTTAAAAAATTAAATAAATAAAGTAAAATAAAAAATAAATAAACAAGTAAAATAATAGATTAAAGTTGAGTAAAAATAAAGTACATTTTTTTTTAATAGATATCATACCTATGTATAATACTTTTCGTAATTAGTTTTTCAAAATGTTGAAACGATCGTCATCCCTACATTTGTTATTCATATTTGTTGTTATATTATTTGAAGTGTTTTGACTTAGGACATAACACAGCTTCTCTATCTTGACCTCTGTGGCTAGCCATATGTAAACATGTGTAATGTGTAAAAAAAAATAATACTTTAAACGGTAGAGAGCATAAAAAATTATAATCAAACAAATTATGTAAATATATAAATAAAAATTTATTTTATTTTATTTTTTTATTAATTTCCAATTTACATTGAAAATGTAGAGCTATTATCTTAAGAATGTTAAGTTTGTAATCTCGAATAATGACTTATTTTCCTCCGTTCTCTGTCTAATCAGCAAAAATCTGTTAATTGTAATAAGCCATTGCTGTAACTAGAAATTATATATAATTATACTTCCCGGCGCTGGTCTTCTTTTTCTTGGATGTGCTGCAGTATTATATTTGAATGGATTCACCACTGTTTTCCAGCCGTATATGAATTCTTTGAGCAACAAGAAATTTACCTTACTCACCGATGGAGTATGTAAACTACCAAGCGAAGACATAAATTCCTGTGATTCTTATCATCGTAAATCTCAACTCTTTGGGTTTACCGCAAGCCGTGACGACACGCTCAAAAGTCACATGAACAATACCCGTGGGGATATTGTATTTGTCAGGGCTATGTAGCTTGGCTTGAAAAACAACACGCCCCGTGAGGAATTGTAAAACCTAATAGTCCTGGAGGATTATTACTATTTGTCATCTCGAACAAGCTTATCATTTGTATTTCCAATTTATTAAAATAAAATGACAGTATCTGAAGGGACCAACATATTCTGAGATCGTAGTGGCAGCCCTATTTTATCCTGCCAGTCTACATCTTGTAACTTAGCGGCGAAAGATTGTGAGTCAAACACCGGGTCTTCTAGTTTGAAATCTATCTTATTAAGGACATTAAAATAGACATTTGCAAATTTCATTGACGAAAGCTCTGTATAAATGAAGTACATGTATACATTTGATGCAAACTGAACGTGACGAACCATGGTCCATGTATCTAGAAAGACTCATCATTATCTTTCAATCCGGATGTTTACTATTGCAGCCTACTTAAGGTACTAAAGCAATCTTTGCTTATTTGCGTCTGCTATTAATTATTCTCCAATCCGATTGTTATGTAACAAATTTATAATCGTTAGTCATATAAAACAAATAGTCTGTTCCCCCAAGTGTATCTGTTTTTAATACCTCCACTGTCAAACTGATTTCATTGCTGTTTATACAAGAGATAAGACAAAACATCGAGCTGTAAAGACTTTATAGACTAAAAGGTGGAAAACATTTCACAACGTTAAATACACGTGGTACTTTATTAGACTATCAAATTATCAACTAGAAGATTTATCGCCATTGCCCCGGATATCAGAAGTTAGTTATTAACAGTTCGTGCTTAGACTAATAAATCTGCATTGGAACTGCTATTCCCCAAGAATAATAATGACATTTTTTTAATTTATTTTTTTGACCCTCAATAATAAATCTGCTATACCATTCAATGGTCTAGGTATTCCACATTAGGTATTTTTACCCTCCGAACTTCACGTAAACCTATGGAATATCTAAAAAGAATCTCAGAGTAATTTTCTATAAGCAGTCTGTAGCATTCCATTTCTGCACTTGACTCCCCAAGAATGTCCTATTACACTGTTACTAAATTCATTATTCTTTTTATTTCTGGCATTCCAATTCCAACTTAGACAGTATCTCTTTTCAATTGTTTTCCTTTTTTTTTTATTTCTTAAAGACATTTACAACTGTATCAAATAAATACATGATAAATGTATATAATGACATGAAAAACACTTGTTGAGTAACTACCCAATGGTAGCACTCTAATGATATGTTTACATTAGGAGATCACGAGGCCATCTTCTTTTCAGACGCCTCGGAGGGTTATCAGGAATTGAAAAGAAAGCAAGGTTAGAAACGAGAGAGTTGGGATGATTCTGAAGTTTGTTATGGAATGATAGGTATCTGGATTGGGCCAGATCTGAAACAAAAGAAACATTAAGATCATTATGGATGGTTTTATTTTGAACAAAGTAGGGAGCATTGAGGATTTTATGAAGGATTTTGGATTGTAAGGATTGGATACGAGAGGAATTCGATGGTTTAGTGGAGCCCCATAGCTCAACTCCGTAAGTCCAAATAGGCCTTATTATAGTCAAGTATGTGAGTCTTTTGTAATTAATTGGAAGTTTAGAGCGTTTGTCTAGTAAGTGCTGAAGTAATCGGAAACGTCGAGCGGTTTCTTGCCGTTTCAGTCTAGTATGAGGATTCCAAGTTAGTCGTTTGTCCAGGTGGAGTCCTAGGTATCGGATTTGCTCAACAGGGATAAGTGGAGTACAAAACTGTGGAGTAGTTAAAGGAAACTGTAGGACAGGAAGTCGTTTATTAGGAACAAGAAAACAAAAAATTAATTTAACAATGAAAAAAATTATAAAGGACAGAAGAAAATTGATATAGAAGTAATTATCAAAAACTATAAAAATATTAATATTTATTAATAAAAAGATTTATTACAAAAAATTAAGAAAAGTGAATTAAATTTCTCAACAAAAAAAAAAACGCTGCAAATTATTTCACAATGGTTTATTTTTTCCAAACAATTATAAATCTGAAGTAACATTTCCTTCCTAGTTACAACGAAAAATAAATAAAAGATGATTCCAATTATTAGACTAAACATTTTTTAATAACATTACTATAGTAATAACATTACTAAAAAAATTAGCATTACGTTAGTAACACATTAAAAAATAAAAATCCAAAACAAAGAATTTTTAGTAGAGCATAAAAAACATCTAGAGACCACATCTTTGCTCCTAATTGTCCGATTTTAACGATTTTTTTAAAGGAAATTCCGTGAGCTTAAAAGTGTATACTTTTTGAGTAATTCGGAATTTAATTTTACCATCTCTCGTAACTTTTTTCCAGCTTCTTTTCGTTGAAGTATTTAGAGGGCGTCGGTTAAAAAATAATCTAATTTTTAAGAGCTCACCTGGACATTTTTTGTAGGCATTTCTATTCATTTAGTTTATTACCTTTTGAAGTGAACTACTTTAGGCGCGTTTAGAACTTTTTTGTGGACAGTGAAATAGGTAGAACCGTCAGATTTCCGATGTGTCACGCTCGGTCAAAGCCGGCTGGTGTCGACTAATTGAAGTGATCTACCTACCTGAAGTATTGCTGAAAATCGGAAAAATGTTCAGTATTTTATCCTCTTTATAATGAGCTATTATTTATAATTTATACTCCATACTTTTAATCTCGTCTTGTTGGTTTTTTCACTTCTATCGTCTAAAGCATACACCTTAGTTGTTGTTTTTTTTTTTATATATAAAACTGTTGTTTTCGATTGTAAATTGTTTATATGAATATTTGTATAAAATCAATATTTTTGCAGCCTCCCAACTGCAGCCACCACAACTTCCTTTCTATCCAGTGCCCTTATTTCCTTGGATACCAAACCAGTCATACATTACCACATTTGGGGCAAAAAGGAGTTGGACACTCAATGAAAGGAAAATGCTGATACACTGATAATAATGTTAAATCAACAGTTTTTTTTTTTTTAAGAATCTTGTCCTCCAATTTCATATGCAAAAGATATTACACTTCCATCCAGTAATTTCACAATTTAAGAATAAGATTGTAGAGATTTTGCTTGCGCCTTTCCTCTTCCCCATCCCGTTCTCAACGCCTTCTGACGTATATTAAACTGTAGAGGTTGTTTATCAATTTGCCATTTTCATCTCCATAATAATCTCTATTGAAAATTCCAAATAATTACTAAAAAAAATTAACAGGAAAAGATCTTACAAATGAAGACTTTTAAGAAGGAATCTGGAAAGATAAGATGTGGTGAAGGTCAAGGACATTATATTTGGAAGCTGGCTATTTTTTTTTATCAGATTTAAAAAAAAAATGGCAATTTCCGTTTTTTCTGTTGACTTTGCAGACCTTGTAGATTTTTGCCACCTTAACAAGCCTTCTCCATCGCTGCCCATTTTGGGATAATTCCGGTTTTTGGCCTTCCTCTGGTCTACTACTGGGGCATTCATTGTGTAGAGACTTCATGATGGATAGCTCCGAGCTATATACTCCACCACTTTGAAAAACCTTAGTGTTGCACAACCTTAATTTGAAATTTGTAGATTTGTTTTACAATATCTTTGAAAGAGAGAAGAGAGTATTGTTCGCGCTGTTTAATTTCCGACTGTTGGTTATTCTTTGAGTTTATTGTACAGCTGAGGTGTTTGAATTTATCTTCTTTTCTTCAACGCAGATCCTATTTTTGGGGTCGAAAATCAACAAAAAATAGTAGGGGTAAAAAAATAAAATAAAACCAAACCATAAAGAACTCTTTCCAGCAGTGTTTGTTGATTCTTGTATTTATAGGTTAGAAATAAATAAAATTAATTATAATTGAATCAAAGCAGGAAACACCTAGGTTAAAAGCCTAGAAAATATGGACAATAGAAACTAGAAAATAGGACAATTTTAATTCTTACTTGCTTGTTTAGTCAGTTTTTTTACTTTTACTGAGAGGTATCCGTTATTCAAATACAAAGTATCACTCCTTACCTAGGAAAATTGTGTTTAAAATTGTATGAATAAAAAAAACATAGTTTATATGTAATATAAAATCATATAAATAGGTTTTGTTTTCAATTACAGAAATAATTTAGACAATATCTAGTATATATATGCATAAGAAGAAAATATTACATAAAATACAATACAATTTTGTAACAAAAAAATCTAGTGTGTCCACTCACACGACTTTCTTATCTATTTCAGAAAAATTTTTATATCTCTACATATATTTGGCTCATGAAGAAACAAAAAAAAATTGAATTAGATTTATTTTCCTGGAAATTGTTCAAAGAAAAGATTTGATTACGATTTATTTGATAAACTAAAGCAATGTAATTCGGCTTGACATAGATTAATGTAAAAATTTCAATACTCTCTAATATTGCTGATTAAAAACTTTTTGTCATAGCTTAATTTTGTGAAACAATAATTTTTGTTAAAAGTAGAGGAAATAAAGAAGCTTGTGTGATGCGGGCAGCAGATTTTCTTACTTTCACTTAGTCATCTCTATTATCTCATTCATCCCTTTCTGACACCAGGATATGAACACGTAATCTTACATTGGAAATGGAATAGCTTTAACTTCGTTAATAGTTGTTCAAAATGAACGATTTTTATATAGTTTTGTAGGGAATTTCATTACCATTCAAAATAACACGCTAAACGGTATTTTTAAGTTGTTCGGACAGACAGACAGACCAATGGGTGAAAATGTGTTTTTCAGACACGGGGGCTCTAATACGTATAGATCCGTCGAAAACCGCATATCGGAAATTTGATCCGATCGCAATACTTTCCTTACCTAGTATAGTAAGTAATAAATTAAAACATGTGTAGAAAATAGAATAAGCTGTATCATCGTTAATACTGGTTCGATTCCAATGATTTTTTTTTGTTCTGTTGGTAATTTAATTACCTTTCAAAAGTTTTATTATAAGTCGTTCCAACAGTAGTTCCTGAGAAAATCTTGGCACAGACAGACCGGTGGCTAAAAATGTGTGTTTCGGACTCAGGGGGCTCTTAAACGTATAGATTCGTCGAATAAAGCATATCGGAAATTTGACCCGATTGCAATACTTTCCTTACCTAGTATAGGTAGGAAAATAAACATACTTTAATTTGTTGTGCAGTACAACAATGAAGAACGATAGTTATAATGAGAAACGAATATATTATTACCAAATTTTCAATAAATATAAATTCAATAAATTTAGACCACACGAAAGAAGTGAAAACAACAAGGCGAGATTAATAATATGAAACATAAATTATAAATAATAGCACAGAAATATTTAGCCACAGTTTCAGTTTCCTCATTGATATAACTAATGATAGAACTGAGTGGAGCGCCACTTCTATGTAACTTTAGTAATCCATGTATTCTCGATGCATTGTAGTTAGGGTTAATTAGTTTAATTTCGTTTAATAAGAAATTTTAAGGTTAATAACAAAGTTATTACATAAAATATTGACAGCAAAGGAAGGTCAATCTAAAAATGTCCTTAATGAATATTAATGATTTGAACAATAGCTCATTACAAAGAAGACGAAACGATACTATAAGCGAGAAAAATGTTAAGTTCTCTCGCTTAGAGTATACAGGTCAAATTTTTAATATCTGAAATATTTTAATCCATATATTCAACTGACCTCGTTATCATTTGGTTTTCGACACTTTTGTTTCCTTTTTTCCTCTCTAACACGGCGTCGCGTTAAGATACATTTTAAAATTATAGCTTATTACAGAGGGGATAAAATGGTAAACAATTTCCTCGCACATGGTATGAAGGCCCGATTTTTAGTTTCTGAAATATTTTCAACCATATGTAAAAACAGTCCAATTAGTCGACTATAGCCGACTTTACCCGAGCGTTAAAATCTGACGGATCAATCTAATTCACTCTCCACAAAAAGAACAAAACGCGCCTAAAGATATTTTCGTTTCAAAAATATATATAGTAAATAGAAATATAATAAACATAAAAATAAGTAAAGTAAAATGACAACTTATGCACATAAAAATAATTTTTATTTTATTTATTTATTTATAAATATAATAATCTGTCGCGTGGACAATAATTATAGTGATAACAATACTTATAGTGATAAGAAATAAGTTAGACGCAAGATAAATACGAAATAATAATTCTGCGGAAAAATAATAAATAAACTAAAAAATAAGTGACCCTTCAAAGAGCCCGGGCCCCAGGAATTTTGCCACATACCCCACTCTAACCACAGCCCTGTTTGGATCCTTATATTCGCCAAAAAATGAATAAAATAAAAGAAATAGTAACATATTTCAATCCTAAATAATATTTGGAAATATAATATAATATATTATGTAACTTGTGTTTTGAATCTAGCTTCATTCCTTGGTTTCATTTTACTGCTTGTAGAAAAAATTTGACATATTCGCAGACCAAATCCTTTGGTATATTATATGTTAAATTGATTTGAAACTGTTTGTATACAATAATACAATAGTATTATTAAATTAGACAACTCATTCGTTCAACAAACTTTTATACCGCATATATTTTTTTCGTGACCCCTCAGATAGCCCAAACAGCAGAGATTTGTCCCCATATCCCTCCTTGACGACATGCCTGTTTAGAGCATTTTATTCGAAAAAAAAAGTAATGGTAATAATTTTCTATAATTAACAGTATTTGAAAAATATTAGTTTTTAATCGATGGTATTATTTTACTGCTTGTAGAAAACTCATACATATTCGCCTTTGGTATAATATATGTTAAGTTGATTTGAAACTGTTTGTAAACAAAACCATTATTAGTCGTCTTGATAAAGAAGGATCTTGTATTTAATCTTAAGATGTTAAGGAATACGACAACGTTAACTTGAAATTTCCAATTAAATTACAATCAACCTTTATGGCTAAGGTGTGTACCAGAGGATTAAAAGATAGTTATCATGGTGTGTCCGGAAAAGTGGGGGAAGGATAGGAAGAGGTCGGTGTGGAAGTCACTCTTCAACACAACGCGGCGCTATGTTAGAGTGTCTTCACGTCGTACTTCTCTTCTTCGGGTATGGAGTCCTGGCCACAACTGACCGCCCCAACATCGTCTTCATCGTGGCCGACGATATGGTGAGTACTACCTTTTAAAGGGAATAAGATAAATGAATTCTATTGGTCAGTTACTAAACCTCTAGCAGCAGTCTTCGTCTTGAAAATAGTTCAGAGCGGTACCAATACACTGTGTACAATACAATGAGACCATATTCTCACAAGTGAACAAAACAAAGAATACCTCCCACTATGACTGAAGTTCTTGCAGATGAAGAAAAAGATTTAAAATGTAGTTAAATTCATTAAGTACATTGACATATCGTCGGTTTATTGCAAAAAGTCACCAAGTATACTGTAAGTCGATTTTACCTGAAGGTACGTATTTGTTAAATTTCGATCATAATCAAAACTACCTAATGATATCTTGTTCTATAAATAATGTTAAAATAGATCGGCAAAATTTACTATCGGGTACTGGTACGGAATTAGTGTATGGGATTTAATAAAAATGATATGAACTACATATATACCAACCTATACAGTCCCAGAAAGTTTCATCTAAATCGGACTAAAATTACAAGAGATATGCTTATAGCATAGATCTGACTGCAGTCAGACAGACAAGGAATCAAATTTGTTTCTTTATATCTTAAAAGTAAAATGTGCTTTAATTTTAATTTTGCTATTCTAAGTTGCAATAGTTTTGTAACTTCCTACACGAAACCAAAATTTTTTATCTTGTATATTGTATTATTAGGAAAAACAAATAACAAAACTGGTTTAAATTCGAGGTGTATGAAAAAAAAATAAATGGATTTTTCTCAATTTTCTGATAATGGAACACATCTGCCATTGGTATGATTTCAATTATGTATTTATAGACAAGACAACAGTAAATCAATTAAAAAATTAATTCCCACATAATTACTAATAAAATGAATGCCAATATTTTTATGAAAATTAAATAACAGATCAAAGTAAATAATCTCTTATTTATTTAACCTTATTTTATTAATAAAATTTGCATCATACATCAGGAATTTATTTTAAAGTAATGTATTAAGAGTAGCTTAATATATGTGCTGGTGGAAGGTGCTGAGACTGTCTGTGAGTCCCTAGCCTAAGGTATCGAAGCTCTATTTTAAAACTTAAGAGGATCTCATTGTTAATTTATAAAAATAACCGGGATCGAAATGTTGAATAAACACAAAAGCAATGAACATTTAGTAGTTTATTGAATAATTAATAAGGGAACTTATTCCCAATTAAATAATTATGTTTATATATATATATATATATATATATATATATATATATATATATATATATACACAATCCGCAAACATATTCGTAACAAAAATAATATAAAAAGTTTCACTAGAGTTAAAAATGGTTTGTAGTGAATTTTGTGGAGACTAAAAATGAAGAAACCGAAATGCAAAGAACTCATTTTCCTTATGTACTATTTCCTTTGGCGAAAAAAATACCGTTTGTTTATGTGGTTTAGCATAATATTTTAATCTTAAATAAGGTAAAAAGAATTGAATATCCGGGAAATGCTCTTAAGACATATTAAAAAAAACAGAAAATTATTCACCAAGCATAATAGAAGTATTTACATCATTCTTGATAACGTTCAGTTATCAATATATATATATATATATTTTTTTATATATATATATATATATATAATATTGCAGAAATACAAATATAAATATATTTTAATTTGAATATGATTTAGAACTTTTAAACTGTCAACATCTATGTTGTATTTAAAATAGACCCAATGAGTATGAAACAATATTTACTTCATGATTTTTCACTTACAATTTTATCGTGCGAAATATTTAAAAATATTCTATCATTATTAATTCTTTTTTCAAACAATTTCATACACATCTAAAATTTACATAAGACATATTGAAATTTAATTCAATAATCAATATGGTGCCTCTAACCTATAAAGTTGCACACGGCACCAATTAAATAAAACCAAATAAAATAAATAAACTATGAATCAACTCCACATGAAAACTCATAGATGTATAACGGTAAAATCAGAGATGTGGGGAAATATAAAAAAAGTTTGTAAAAATAATAATTTATGATCAAAAATATAATATTAATTCTTAAATAAAGATTTCGCGATAGTAATTGTTGAATTTTATTAATTTAAAATTCATCGATTCGTTGTTATTGTGTTTTTGATATATCATAAATTACGTATATAGGCCCATTTTTTCTACATTAATACGTCTCCTTAATATCCCATTTATTCTTGATCTTATCCCAGCCAAATTTTCCAAATTTCACCAGAACCTTTCTCATCACCCAAATCCCGTTGTACAATCCCTATCAAGCACCACCCATCCCTACAATCCCCTTCGTAGTTTAAAGCGGCAGTGGCCACGAGACCTTTTGTAAATATGGATATTTTGGAGTTCTAGCAATGGCCAGATTCTCCACTCAAGTCATGAGTGTCTGTGGCTGTAGCGCTCTTACTCATCCTCCGCTGGTTTAAAATACCAGTGAAGTGGCTGAGGGAGAAGCGTAGGGATCTCCTAAGCCTCCCTTTTCCCTCCACATGTGGAGGGGACAGGATTGGTTCGGAGATCACCTGGCAAATTGTAAATAATGTATATAGGTATGTTTTATATAAGGTGTTTGTTTTACTTTTATTTCTATTTTTATTTACTTATGTGTATATATATATATATTTTTTTTTCTTTACTCTTTTGTTCTTTTTTCTTATTCTTTTGTTATTACTTTATTTATTTATATTTTTGTATATACGGTATGAATGCAATCTCTGAACTCTATTATAAGTGTCCTTAAACTGTGACAAATTGTAATATTTCTGAATAAAGTGTTTTAATAATAATAATACGTCTCAACTTCAAAACCGCATGTTCTATTTGGCACAACATTGAAGAGACGTTAGGAGTAAAGTTCCAATTCTAAGGAACTTTATAATAATAAATTTCCACATTTTATGGTAAAAGTTTTATTGAAAAGGTTTCATTAAATGAAAAATAAACAGTAATTGTGGTTAGATTAGAGCTATAATTTCTCTTAAATGAATTTGTCGTTTGTTTAAGAAGAAAATTCCTTTTATAAATTGATTTTATAACAAAATTGACAAAACTTTCAAAATAAAAGTTAATTAAAAAGGAAAAAGATCTAGTTCCAAAAGAAGTGAAAAGTTATCGACAATAAAAATTACTATGACACCGAAGCTTTATAAATAACTTTTTATTCCGTTTCAAGCACTTTTTTCCACATGTGGAGACGGACTCCACGACATCCCAGGGATGTCTTCCCGTGGTATCGCTGCTATTGGAAGCCAGTGGAGATTGCAAAAGGCCACTAGAGCCACAGTTGCTCAAGAAGACCATGGACAAGCTAAATTAGTTGACGAAACTGGTCATATTTTCGACAATAATCATCTTGAAGTTAAAAACATGTTTCTTCTAAATCTCATCTACCTTAAACACATTAGTAGTGTATCAGTGTTGTATATGGTGATTTAACGTTTTGGAGTCCGTAGAAAGTTTAAAAATCTTTTTCGTATTCAGATGATTTTTTTTAAACTTTACATACTACTTTATTAACTTGAACTTCTACTTACTGTTCTACTTATGACAACTGATGTTCCCAGGGACGGCACGACACAGGCTTCAATGGAGGGGACGTGAGGACCCCAAACATGGACTCGCTGGCCGCGCAGGGCGTCATCATTAGCCGCCACTACACCCTTCCATCCTGCACACCCTCCCGCGCAGCCCTCATGACTGGCCGCTACCCCATCAGGAGTGGTAAGTAACTATCGTATTCACCGTCCAATTGGATTGGCAGATCATAGAGTAAGTATCAGAGAACGGAGTAAAGGACCAACATGCTCCCACACGTCTGAGCCGTACCACGGTGGTATGGAGTACCTTCTCGATGAAACCACACATGGCCGTAGTTAACCTAACCTAATCCTTAAATTGCCGAAGGGCAGATGTACTATGCCAGAAACCTTGGCGGGAGTATACGCAGCAACTTCCCAAAGTTTCATGGCGATCAGATGAATGGTTAAGTAATGCATAAAAGACAAATTGACAGTTTCGAGAATGAATGTTATTTCAACCATTTTTCATAGCAATCGTTACAGCAGTTTTGTGTATTATATTGTATTTGATGAAATACTTATGTATGTAATTGATGAAATATAAAATAGAAGGTAAAAAAAAAAAACCCTAAGCTAAGTGTATGTTATCGAGAAGGCACTAGCGGATCCATGATTTAATTTTGGGGGAAGGGCTTCAGCCCGAAAGCTTTGTTTTTCTCAAAAATAACGATAATTACTTTGGGAAAAAAAAGAAAGAAACTAATTACCTATATGAAATGGTGTTTAAGTGATACCAAAAGCCCTTTTAAATGTAATTACACGAACAATAACACTTTAAAAAATAATTTTTTTTGGTAAACATGGTTTTATTTTACCATTTTGGGGAGAGGGGAGAGCGGAGGGAGCCCAAAAGCCACCCTCGTAGATCCGCCCGTGCGAGAAGGTATTGTACTTCATATTGCTCTGATGTGGCTCGGACGTTGTGCGGGCTTGAGTGTTCCAGCCTTTCTTTTTTTTTTTTTTGCACTTACATATATTTATCCGCACCTGTCAATTATAACTATTGACAATCAGCAGATGTGCTGGCATAGTAATGAGAAAAAAAAATAAATAAAAAAATAAAATAAAAAGGCTTGATAGGCATGAGGAAAAGCAATACCCAGCGGCATCCTTTTCATGGCTTTTACTTACTTACATACAATTACGTAAGTAGGTCCCTCATCCAGACCCTTTTCAGTCGTCTTCTGGAGTTCTCCGGCATAATAGTCGTGGCCATTTCTTTAATTACCTGGTTGGAGTGTCCATGTAATTTATTATGAAATCGTTTGTAGTAAATTCCTATGTGTTCATTGATCGTTGGTATGTGTAAGTCAGTGTGTAAAGTGTTATTATTCACGTACCAGGGTGCTTGGATAATTAGTCGTAGTATCTTAGACTGAAAAGTTTGAAGTCGTTTTATGTGTGTTGGTTTTGCAGTTCCATATATTTGTAGTCCATAAGTCCAGAGAGGTTTTAATAGGTATGCATAAATATTTAATTTCTGTCTTGCTTTTAATAGTGTTCCAGCCTTGATACTATTTTATTTAATTAATTTGATAAAAAAAACAAAAAAAAACAGAGAAAACCTATAATCCTAATGCGCCCAAGAATATCCTTTTGTACATAAATACAAATCAACTTACGAATTAGTGCACCAATGTAAAAATGATAAAATAATGCATTATGGTATTTTTGATAGTACATTGACAAAGTAATAGTCTGAAGTTAAGAGAGCTAAGGCTTTCTCTACCTTGAACACAACATCCCCGAATAACCTCAAGGTTCTCTCTTAACTTGCTCACCTATAGTTAATGCTGTAAAGTCATATATAGAGAATCAACTTGAACAAGCACCTTGGTGCGAATAAATATAAATCTGTGAAAAAATCGCTAAAAGACAGAACAGAAATGTTAGATTACAATTGAAAAAATTCCAACCTTATGTGTCCAAAAACGTCGTTTCACCAATTTAGGCCTCATCAGGACAGAAGACAATAGAAAATTGAACTTTAATCTATTACATCCAATCGCATACTATGTATAAAACAGTGGGATATCTATCTGTAGTATGGTTGGAGAATGATAAGAAAAAAATCTGGTGCAGTGTGCTTATCCCGCAACTTTCACTTACCACCCTCTTCTTAATAGAAATAAGTATTTTCAGACAAAGGAGAAGTGAAAGTAAAAATTATAAAAGCTATAGTGGTTTATATTTCATTGTGGTTATTTTTATTTGTATAAGAACACTTGTATATACAAATGTTAATGTTTATATCGCTGTAATCTATGCAATTAAATATTAAATAATACCAAAAATAGCATTTATGAAAACCGCATATGTATATTTACTTAATATTGTCGCAGTCCTTATTATATATTAAGTTCATGTTATTTACGGAAGCGTGTTCTGATCTCCTATGTTTATTATCTTTAGCTAATAATCAAATTCTTTCGTATTTTATATTTAACTATTTTTTATATTAGAGATTATTGTGAAGTGGTCAATTGTTTCAAATAAAAAAAAATAAAAGATACTTTAGGGGAAGCTAATATTGAAAATTAGTCATTTAAGTCCCGTTAGAGAACATCAATCAGAACAAAACCCACATTTCATTTAAAACTGCTTAAGTTTACACTGATATAATGAATTTAATCAAAATCGTTAGAGCCGTTTCAGAGAAAATCGTAAAAATGCGTTTAGTCCATGATATAAAGCTCCCACTTCCGGTTAGCCGATTTTGAGATAGACTGTTAACACGCACACACATAATATTTTGCGGGACTTGGTTATTTCAACTCAGGAGACCTCAAAACATGTATTTCCGTTGAAAACTCAGATTCGAAAATTTTCACTTACTATATACTTCATATATAGGTAAGTAAGTGAAAGTAAAAAAGCGAATAATTCATAATTTTTGTAAAAACAGGACTTAAAAGCAGAGCCACTCAAAAGTCCTCTTTAAATATTTTTAAAAATGACAAACTCTACTTTTATTTGAAGTGTATATTGTCTAGTTTACTTCATAGTAATTGTTAATTAGAAAAAATTAATATATTTTTTTTTATATCGGTTCGTATTCAATGAAAAACGGTTAGTTACTTTTAAAAAAATACAAAATACTATATATGTTTTTAAAAATCAAAATTTATATTTCATTTATGGTGCTACAGCCAACCACTTAAATAATAAATGTCATAGTTGAAACAAATATGTCTGTAATGAACTGATAAACAACATTAAAAACTATTTTACAATTATAGCAAATATTGAGAGGCTGCCATTAGAAACAGCATCGTTGTTTCCATATTATGAAACATCAACTATGTGTGCAAACCACTTAAAGGGTCGGTGACCTAGAGCCTCTTAACCCATAACGTGTTATAAACTAACATAAAAAATGTTAAAAAAAAAGAAGAATATTTTATCTCTTTTTTTTACCTCTTATCAATGGAATCGTAAATGTACAATGGTTTAAAAAAATCTTATCGATAATTTTTTTTTATAATTGAAATTTACAACTGTATTAAAAGATAAATACAACTAGTAAATATGAAATAAGCAACATGACATGTACAACATGAAGAGAAACTACCCATTGGTAGCACTCCAATTATATTTCTATATTAGAAGGTCCCGAGGCCATCTTCTTTTCAGACGCCTCGGAGGGTTATCAGGAATAGAAGAGGAAGCAAGATTGGAAACAAGAGGGTTCGGATGGTTCAGAAGTTTATTATGGAAGGATAGGTATCTGGATTGAGCTAAATCGGGAACATACAGTAAATTTAGGTCAATGGATGATTTTATTTGTGACAAAGTAGGGAGCATTGAGGATTTTACGAAGGATTTTGGATTGTGAGGATTGGATACGAGAGGAATTTGATGGTTTAGTAGAGCCCCAAAGCTCGAACCCGCAAGTCCAAATAGGCCTTATTATAGTAATATATATGAGTCTTTTGTAAATAGTTGGAAGTTTAGAGCGTTTGTCTAGTAAGTGCTGCGGTTGTCGAAAACATCGGTCGGTTTCTAGTCTTTTCAGCCTGGTATGGGGGTCTTATCGATATTAAAATTATTTAGGCTGAATCAATATATCATTCACTATTTTATTTTATATCATTCACAAAACATCTGCAACGTTTCCGGACAGTGCTCTATCTTCAGGCACAACCGAAAGATGTTATGATGTGTCTTTGTGCTGCATAACTGTATTCATAAAGTTTCCCACATTAGCATGGTTACTAATAAGTGCTAAAAAACTTAATTATAATGCTTGTATAAACATTTCTTGCTACTATTGTAACAGCATTTATAATTTTAAAATGTTTGAGGAGAACAAATAGAAATATTAATAAATACATTTAAATTAGAAACAATATTATTAGAACTATTGAAATTTTATTTTATTCTTTTTTTAAATATTAAACTTTGGATAAAAGAAAAATACCTAAATAACTCAGAAGGCTACGAAATGAAAAATTCTAGGGCCTGTGGAATATTGTAGAAGTAATGAATGATATTAAGACAACTGAAATGATATGGAAAGTGTAAGGCCAAGAACTAATTCTTCACTGACTTAATAACAAAAATTAAAGATTTATGTATTTTTTGCCAAAAAAAAAACTACTGATTTATTAACATTTACCAATAACCAAAAACTTATTTCTAGAAACTTGTTGTTTATAGGTTATTTATTGTATATAGGTATATATATGTGTTCTTTTTATTCATTTATTTTTAGGTTATTTTATTCTTATTTATTGTATATATATTATTTTTCTGTATGGTTTATTTTATTTACTGTACATAGAGTGTGAATGTGATCTGTGAACACTATTATAAATGTCCCTGAGATAGATTGTAATATTTTTCAATAAATAAGCTTAAAAAAAATATATATATATGTAATATAGCATTAATTTCACATACACACACACACACACACACACTTATATATATATATATATATATATATATATTATATATATATATATATATATATATATATATATATATCACTTAAAAATTTGATAAAAATATAGATATCATTTCAAAATCGTACAAAAATATATCTATGTTTTTATGAACATTGAATTGCAGTATTAGATTTTTAATAATAGTTGTTCAGATGTAGACAGTGAAACTTTTGAAAAATAAAATAGATAAACCTTAAAAAAAAAAATGATATCAATAAAGCAGAATCATTATATTAATTCTATTTTTCTATTCACTAGGAATGCAAAGCAAACCCTTGCCAGCAGGAGTACCCCTTTCCTTGCCATTGAGTGAGAAAATATTTCCACAGGTAATGTCATTCTATTTTCATTGTCTGCGATTAAATAAACATAAGATTAATTAATTTGAAATAGTATATTTAAACATTTCAAATGATTATTTAATAATGAAACAATGTGATCAAATGAGGAATTTATTGATAAATAATATAAACATCTTAAAAAATTATTTCATTTATAGCACTTTCATCAGTTGGGATATAAAGCTCATTTAGTAGGCAAATGGCACCTGGGCTACCAGACACCGAGCCACCTCCCGACAAGAAGGGGTTTCGACTCCTTTTTCGGATACTTGAACGGTTACGTCAGCTACTACGACGCCACTCATTCACAATCGGTACGTAAAACACATACATAATAGAATTAAAATATATTATAAATATTATGTCAGTATTATGACAGGAGTACTAACTATGTTGGTCCTAAATACCACCATAGGACACTGCAGAACTAGGTTTACCCCTATGTCCTAGATGTCAGGGTAGATCGTAACTTAATATATACACAGCCCGCACCTTCAGTATTCATAAACAAACCCAAACGAGACGCATTTTTAAACTAAAATGAAAATTTTAACAATCAGAGATGTATATTATAAAATAACTGAAAAGAAGAATGGAAGGGGTGAGCAGTCAAAAAACAATTAATAAAAAAAAATATATTTATTTTTACTTTTGACGACATTTCGGCGCAAAGTTCAGGCCTTCATCACGGATGCTGAAGTGAAGAGCTGTCACAAGACTGCTCTGTCTTGAACTTTGGGCCGAAACGTCGGCAAAAATAAAATAAAATATAATTATTTATTTTTTTTATTGATCACACCAACCATTCTACCCTTCAATTATTCCTTACAGTCAACCATCAATCCACAAGATATTATAATATGAGAGATAGAAGGGTTAATGCTCTAGGAATCCTGAGCATCCCGAAGGAGCTATTCTCAGATCTTGACAGAGGCGTAACTCACGAGAAATACAAACGTTTTCCTGTATTTTTTTTTTCAGTTCTAAAAAACAAACACTTTTATCATTATTCCTTAGGCGCAGCATCACCTCCCAATATTTTTGAAACTCAATGCTATATATAGTAATAAAAGCACAATTAAGCTTAGGATAAATAAGTAAATACCGCTTACTAATTTTTTTTTTTTCATTTTGTTGAAATATCTTTGCAATACACTTTTTTCCCTCCCACAGTCTCTGCCCCTTAACGTGTATCATCGATTGCAATGACGTAAATAGATTGGCTGAAGAACAATTTTTCCATTCAAAGAAAAGAGGATGGCTTAAATATAGGTTACTATTGAATAAAAATGGTTATTTTGTGAAACTACACCAAAGTTAAATCTGTGTATTTGTTAAGAACTATCTGAACTAGATATTCTTATGTTTAGGAACAATTATTGTTAAGATGATTTATTCGAAATATTTGACTAAGTGGGAGAGGAGAGAAGTAGCCAGAATGGACGGGCGCATTTAATTAGACTGAGGGAGGGACCTTAATTATTATGACCTTTATTATGTAGGCCACTGATCAATACCTTTAAGCAAAATGCATAAAGGTATGCTGTCCAATGCTTTATGCAAGCAATAATTAGTTGTTGTTTTTTTCAAAAATGTCATTAATCACGTTTATATAACAGATCCTTCATTATTTGTAGAATGATGAGTGAAATGATCCCATAAAATTATTCTATTGTATTAAATTATTGTACTTGCGTCTAACCCTATTCTTCTTGTTCTTTTTTAAAATTTATAAATGCAGTTATTATACTAGAGTATTTACTTTTGCTGTGACGATGTCTATGTATTTGGATATAGCTGATAAGACAAATATAATGTACATTTATTTATCTCAGTCATTGCAGGGAGTCAACGGACGCGATATGAGAAGGGACGAAGAAGGAGCGTCCCTCGAAGTCTACGGCAAGTACCTGACCAAAGTCCTCTCCGACGAAGCTGTCTCCGTGATCGAGAAGCATCCGGGCAGCGGCGGCTTGCTGCTGTTCCTGATGCACGCGGCGCCGCACACCGGAAACTTGGGTTATCCTAGGGAGGCTCCCCCGGGGCTAGCATCCAATGCCAGTCATCGCGAGCAGCTTAGAGGTCAGTAGAGTACCTTATAGAAGTTTTCTTATAGGCTGGGGGCGGGGTGGCCGAACGGGCTAACGAGTGTGCACAGCACCGCCTGGCAACCTGACATTTGATAACTGGATAAAATAGTCACGAGTTCCATCGTGCCGGGGGAGTCTTCTGAATTCCCGCCCTCACACCCCGGACCGGAAATATTCCATATAGCCTTAAAGGCGACGAAGGAGAGGAGAAAAAGAAAAAAAAAAATAGGCTCACATAAGATGGAACGTCGAAGATTTTGGATTGCTGCCTAAACATTGTCCAGTTACTTTGAAGGCTGAAGAGCAGTCGAAGAGCAAGGCACCAGGAAAGAGGAGAGACCAAAAGGGCAAAAAAAGTTTTCCAAAGGTATCGTGTCTAGAAACATGGTTAATCAGCTTCATATAAAGAGAATTTTAGTGGTTTATTGATCCAATGAAAATGAAGGGCCAATGAAGTACCAAGGGCTTAGGGAGTTGAAAATATTAATATACTCCCAGGGGCATTTAAAACACAATAAAGAGTGAATATTGTTACAGATAAACAGGAGATACCTATTGATTCACAGCAAAGATATACCACTATCTCTCTCTCATTAAAATGTTAAAGACTACAATTTGTTTAAACTGGTTACATCAAAATTTTGAGTATTATTCAATGTTGGTTATGGATGTTTTAAATTATTTTTATAAGAAAAAAATAAATGCCTTGATATGGAAATTGGAAGTTAGTTTAAGCCAACTTTGTTAATCACTAGAGCCACTATCCTACTATAGACGAGTACATATCCCACAATCTCAGTCTATTTAATTTTTTTTTACATTTGGTAATGTATTTTCAGTACCACTCTTCATCAGTAAAGAATAAAAAAATCCAAACTAATTAAATAAAAAAATATTCTTACTAAGCCTATTTGTTCATTGTTCACGAATCCATGCATTATTTTATTTAAACTTTTAGTTATATTTTTCATATTGACAGTGCGATATTTACACGTTTACAGAAACAGTGAGACACCTTGACAATTCAGTCGGGGATGTTGTAGCAGCCCTGAACAAGAAGGGAGTCCTCAACAACACGATCATAGTCTTCTTCTCCGACAACGGTGCCCCGACAGTGGACGAGTTGTATCACTACGATAATTATGGTTCTAACTGGCCACTCAGAGGGGTGAGCGTATATTTTTATATTAAAGAGCTTAAATTTAAAAATCTTTAGTATAATTTTAAATAAGCCGATATACAATATACAATATGATATATAATTTTCAGCGAGGATGTCGATATACATTCTTCCTTTCACACATCTAGAGGTGTCCATCCTCCCCAATATCGATGTTGCATGGCCCTAAGTTAAGGAAGTATGTTCAATTCTTTGCCATCGCTTAGTTTTCTCTCTTCCTTGTAGGAGAAGATGTCCAATCGCGACGGCGGAGTCCGGACGCCATCCTTCATCTGGTCCCCGATGTTGAGGGAGCAGGCGAGGGTCAGTCAGGAGCTCTTCCACATCACAGACTGGCTTCCAACACTCTACACTGCAGCTGGTCGATATGCATATAGATATTAATCCATTCCTGGTTGGAATAACCCTGGGTCTATAACAACACTATAGTGTCCGTATTGTAGTGAATGACTAACTTTTGGCTGTGATTAAGGACTGTTTGAATTAGTGAACGTAATTTGAGTAAACCAAAGTTAATCCTATAGTGTATCAATTGTGGTGGTATATAGTTGTGACTGTTGTTATGTATGCGTTAACAATTTGATCAAATGCTTCATTTATAATATTAATAAAGATAAGTGGTTATGTAAGTGTAAGGATATGGGTACTAACATACTAATGGATGTGTATGGTATGCAACATGATAACAATTTCGTATTTTAGCCTTGAATCGCATAATCTTTCAAAGGAAATGTTGCACAATCCTTTATATTTTAATTAGCCTTTTCGTTATATAATTAAATAATAATTTAATGATCCATGTATTGTTAACGTTTTGGATTGCTCACTGTTTTAATATTCAGGTCTTCAAAAGTTGATTTAATAAAATAACCTCAAAACTTGTCAGGCGATAGCATAAAACAACATATTATTATAAACATTTAATTTAAAAACACAAGTTATAATCATCATTTGCTTAAACTACAAGATTGGTTCACACTATGGAAAATTCGACTTAATCATGACAAATCCAAACATATAACATTTACTCTTCGAAAAAACACCTGTCCTCCAGTTTATATTGACAACAATCAAATTCCTCAAACGGACACGGTACTTTACCTTGGACTCACCTTCGACAGAAGGATGACATGGGACCCACATGTTAAAATGAAGCGTATGACACTTAACAAACGACTCAAACTACTTTACTCTCTTTTTGCCAAATCTTCAAAACTAAAACTAAAACAGAAACTGAATACATATACATACTTACTTAAGCCCATATGGACATACTCATCACAAATATACGGCATCGCTAAAAAGACCCACCTACAAAAACTTCAAACGTTCCAATTAAAATTATTGCGACTCATAACAAAAGCACCTTGGTACGTGACTAACAAAACTCTACATACTGACCTCCACTTTCCAACAGTTGACCAACATAAAACGACCCTTTATCAACGATTTTACACATATTTGAATGGACATAATAACAGACTTATAAGAGACATGGCCACAACTGACATACTTCAGAACATGAGCAGGAGACTAAAAAGGCGTTGGATGAGGGATCTCCTTCCTTAGACAACCTAAGTAATTGGAACAAGTTAGGGAAGAGGTACTGCTGAGTACTTTCCTTCCCCATGCCTGTCATGTCATTATATCATTATCGCCATCACATTTGTTGATTGTCAACTTATTGTTGACAGGCGCAAATATATATTTTATAGACAAAAAAAAAAAGTTATAATGCGATAAAGATTTAATCTAAAAATAACTTACATATTCATACTTTTGACATACTGTTGACTGTATTGATTATTATATTTTGATTTATTATTGCAATACAAAACTTTTATAAAATATTTTAATAGTTACCATCGGAAATAAATCCTTTGGTCTAGATTATTTCAGATAAAATCTTATGCGTTAAAATATAAGGTATTTTGTTTTTCTAAATACAATTTTGATCACCTAGTATTTAAATTAATACTTACATTTCAATATTTAAATTTCAAATCTAAAATAATTTTTCTGTAAACAATTTAAATATTTGGCAATTAAATTGTATTTTAAAAACACAAAATACTTTTTTGCCCAGTTTTGGTTAAAACTAACATTTCCCTCTCAACCTAACTTTCCGATATTACTTACTAAATATGGTAATTGAATCGATGCGTAAAGATTCGCGCTGAATTCCAACGACCAGTTTAGGAACAGTGTAATAGATTTCCGATTGATCATAGAGGAGCTCAACGATGAGCACAGAAACCTATTCTATTATTACAGATGGTAGATAAGACTGATTTTAACTTATTTAAAAAAAATTAAATAATTCCACTAATCTTATAAACATTTAGAATAACCTTTAAAATTAAAATTAATATTTTCAAAATATATAAATAATGCTGTGTGGTTCAGGCCCAAGTGAAACTTAGTTTTTCACACTAATTACCGATGAGCTAATGATTTTTTCATTTAATGTTTTCCATAATAGATGCTATATCTTCACTGGATATATAAACCTATACTTAGATAATATATAGTTCGTTAGTAACTTAAATACCAGGTTCAAAACAATTTTCGAACATAATTTTAGTTTAATAACAGTTAATTATTTATTGGTTGTAAAATATTTATAAGAACTGGATAGAAAAAAAGATTTATTTATTAGTAAATTGTAAATAAGATTGAAAACTGTTTCGAAATTGTGAAGATTTGTACTACACTACTTACGTAACAACTTCAGAAATATGGACTGAAAATATATTCTGTTTTTTATCATTAGTATTATAGGATAAAAGAAAGTAACTAGACGGTTAAAAATAAATAGCACATAGTGATTTTAAAAAAATAAAAAGTATTTATCCCTACAGGAGGAAAGCTATCAGACATATCCGGTTCAGAGACTATAGACGGAGTTGACCAATGGGGGTTCCTAACAACTTCAGCGGCACCACCGAGGACCGAACTTTTGGTGGATATCAACGATGTCTACGAATCAGAAAGTTACATAATCGACAACTGGAAATTAATCAAAGGTAAGAAAAAAGCGGCAATTTTAAACCTTAACGTAAGTTAAACCTGATTGTTTTTGGATATTGATAACAAAATAAATACATCATTTAGTTAAAAATAGAAACTCTTAACTGATAAATGAACAAGCCACAAAGAAAATATAAGGAAAGTTTTCTTCATCTTAATTGTGATTTATTTGTTTGTTTTAAAAATTAAAATTTCCTATACCAGGCAGGAATGAATAGATAAGGAAATCTAGCTTGGGTTAGTCAATGAATGAAATAAGAAGAATAAAAGAAATTGATATTAAATAGTATTTTCTACTTAGACTCATAGACATAGCATAAAAGCTGGCAGATGCATATGGAGAAGAGGTTTCGGAAGGAAAAGAAAAAAAAAACAGCGTTTGTGTAGTAACGCTTGCCAGTTTGCTGATTGTTGGAGGTGTTGGAACAGCATATGACGGTGGTTCATAGACGTTTAAGTCAGAGAAGTTCAGTAACTCGATGTGCAGAGATGCTTAACCTTTCTATAACCCCTTACACAATCAAGGATTCTCTCTATAAAGTAGTGCCAAAATGTATTCGGTTTTCCTCTATAAAATCCTTACACCCTGCCGCCGTAACCTTTCTATACCAAACCATCAGAACTCAGCGACCTTGCTATATTTTTCACAGCCTACAATTTAAATATTTTATTCAATCCCGTCCCACTAGATATTGTACTTCCGACCTCTATCCACCTCCTCACCGAACTGCTGCGTTTGACAAATCCCTTATAATTTAAGGCGTTTTCTTTTCGAATACCATCCCTCCCGATATCCGACATGTACAATCAGTTTTCTGATTTAAGTCACTCCTATTTAAGCACCTACTCCTTTCCCAACACGATTGATCACGAAATGTAGATAAGAGAACTTTTTAAGTTTCCCAGAAATAATTTTGTTTACTTATGATATTTTATTTTCCCATGTTTGTTTTATATATATTTGTATGTTTTTAGTGTTTATTTATTTTTTTTTTTCTTCTCCCAATTTTTGAATTTTAATGAGATTTGTAAACATTTAAATTAATGCATGGCCACACAGGTATTTTTTCTGTATCTATAATTTTTCCTAAAGGAACAATAGTCCAGAATAATAAAAAAATATTTTCATTTTATTTCATAATAATTATTTATATGCACCGGAGATACTCAAATTAGAAAATAAATAAATCATCGTTAGTAATCTTTAATTTAAGCCTTTTCTTCGAAGTTTTTTTATAGTTCGTCAAGCTCTTTCTTTTCTAAAATAAATATGATTGATATAAATCCAAAATTTAAAACCATATAGAGCGTGTTCTTGGAATGGGTGGAATTTGATAAGAAACATGTAATTCTGAAACATGTAAAAGCATAGAAGATGAAGATTCCAACCGTCTTAACAAGAGGACAAGCTACAAGGAAATAAACTAAACCGTTCTTTAAGGTAAAATCTGACGATTGAAGCCCCTAGTCAAGGAATAGAATTTATCTATCATGTACTCGCTTGACATTAGGTTCATAAGTCATTATTGAAAAAAAAAAATCGTGTAAATTTAAAATACAATAGTACTGAAGTGAGAAAGAACACACTTATATACCGAGATTTTTTAAAAAATCACATTTAGCTACAGACTTTGAAAAACTATGCGTGTGGGGACTGGAGACGTGGCTTGAGTCCACTGTAGCGTGCCGTATATCGCTGTCAAACACAACACTCTTAAACGTCTTTCTCCTTTATTTATAAAAATGCATTTGTAAAATCAATGTTCAATCTAATATTCTTGTTCAGAAGCGATAGGATTAAAAGAAAAACAGGTATATCTTGGGTATAAGTTTTCAAGAAAAAAAATGAGATAAAAAGTATAATATAATTAATTGTATGACCTAGGCGTTGATAAGTCATGACGTTGCCGTGTTTCCACTCTTGTGATGTAGCACTGCTCCCAACACATTTCGTAGACACTAATTATCTTTTGTAAATATGCATCAGAAAAATTCGGGACTTTTTGTGTTTTTATTTTTAAAACCTAATCTTCCGCGAAGAATAGAAATTGAAATCCATGCAAGTACCCAATTTGGTATATATTAATCAATCACAAAATATTTTTATTGATAACTACCCTTAAAAAAGACACATTTTCTGAAAACGTAACATTAAAAAATACATTTTTTTTATAGATCCTCCTCCTAGTCAGAAAACTGTATTCGCAACTAAGTACTACGGAGACAGCGGAGACGATTTCACCTACAACGAACTCGAAGTTGACATGAGACGAGCGGCGAACCATTTACCGCAACCCAAGGTGAGCTACGCCGAGGTGAGGAAGAGAAGTACCCCGAAGAGGAGGTGCGACACCACCGAAGAAGCTCTGAAGGTGGACTGCCACTCCAAGTACTGCCTCTACGACATCCTCGAAGACCCGTCCGAGTGTAAGGACCTGGCGAGCAGCCATCCGGACATCGTGAAGCTGCTCTCGGGCCGCCTGGAGGACTACAGGAAGGTCATGGTACCAACCGACAACTGCAGCTACGACCCGCGAGCGGACCCCAAGAACTGGGACGACTATTGGTCGCCCTGGATGGAAGACGAACCTGGGTCTGGTGCCAGTGCTTCTTTACTTCTTCCAAAATTATTGGCATTACTGTTGATTACCAATATATTGATCTGCGTTTTTAGTTAGGCAACGAGAAATTATCATTATGTACTATATCATTTATGATAAATCTACGGAATTATCTGAATCGTTTTAATTTTGAAAGCGGTAACATCACTAAAAAAAAGTTTTATATATATTCTTCTATTGAAAAATAAGAATTTAACTGTGATAAAAAAAAAATGATAAATGTGTGGCCTCCTCATATCACAGACGGATATCTGTAATTTTTAAAACGTTGAAAAAAATCCTGTAACATAGATTAAATTCTAATAATTTTGTTTTATGATTCAACTTCAACATTCTTAAATATAATCATCAGAAACAGTTGGAATTCAATCTATAAAACAAAAATTTACTATTTTTTTCACTTTCTGAAAATTTTAGGGATCCGTCTTTGATATGAAGCCACTCAAATAAGTGTGATTAAAAAAATTGCATAAAAAGTTAATCGTTTGAACATGACGAGAATCTCTTCAGTAATTGAAGTTCTTGTAAATTAAGATGATAATTAAAACAAATTAATTAAACAAGGTAACATAAAAAATAAAATACAAGTAAAATAATAGGTTGAAATTGAATAAAAGTAAAGAACACTTTCATTAAAAAATTCATATCTATGTATAATATTTATCGTAATTAGTTTTTCAAAATGTTGAAATGATTGTCATCCACACATTTGTTATTCATATTTGTTGTTATATTATTGTAAATGTTTTTACTTAGGACAAAAGGCAGCTTCTCTACCGTAGGCTTTGGCTAACAATATATAAACATATGTAATGTGTAAAAAATAAACTTTAATTTGCAGTGAGAATCAAAACATTTAATCAAACAAATTATGTAAATATATAAATAAAAAAACTGTTTTTGTTTCTTTTTTAATTATTTTTTTAATAAATTCCAGTTTCGATAAGCTTTAATCACATTTGATCCATTTTAATTTATATGAATTTGGCGAACTAATATGTTATTAAGATATATTTCATTTGATATAACACATAAATGGAAGAAAAATATAACGTTATTATTTTCATTCAGAATAGCTTCTTTTAAGTTCAATAAATTTCTTCCAACTACCAAGAAAGTGTTTTATCAGCTATTCGAAGAAACTTTTTGGTTTCTAATATATAAACTTGAAAAGTGAAAATTTTGTGTTTTGTAGATATTCCAACCAGGAATATTTAGAATAGGATTACATAATGAAAAGTGTGTCATTAGAATTTTTAAGAAAATACATCTTAACAGGTTTTTGAATTTTTGGAGTGGAAGAACTTTGACGGGGGTTGTGAATTTTTAGAGGAAATCATACATTCGTGGGGTTTCAATCTGGAAGAACTCTACAAACCAGAAAGTATAGAGAAGGCCCCACCAAGCATAATGAATTATAATGTTACTTCTGCTTGTACCATTTTTAAAAAATGCTTGAAAACTTTTCTTTCGATGAGTTTAATGACCACCCGTCATAAGCTAGGCCCACAACCCTTAAGTGGTGAATAGTGTTATTCAATTAATTAAAAAAATAATAAATTGCATAAAAAAAAAACTAGCAGCATATAGAGACTTTTTTTGCGTATATGATGTGCATACATTTTTATTTTCTAAAAATAAAACATCCGTCAGCTGCACTTGAGACATACCGTAATACACTCTAAGACAAAGAATAACACAGTAACACAATGCTCTTGAGCAGTACAGTGCTTATCAAACATATGTAGGGGTCGAGTACTTGCTAATCCCTGGACTTCATCAAGTGAAAAATAAACATTACTTCCAGTTATAAAAATGCGGATACAGACCTTGAAAAAAAATGGCTCGTGCTTGCTTGGTATGAACGGCTTCTCTTTAATATACTAGTAAAAAAAAAAAGTAAGGTCAGTAAGACTTCCTCAACGTTTGCATTGGCTAAAAAATATCTAAAATGCAAGGTCTAAAATTTTACGCGTGAGAATAATATCTCTGGAAGAAACCGTTTTCGGAAATTCAGCAATCCATCACATATACGGGCTTGATACCCACGAGTTTTGTTTATCAGCGAATACTAAAATCCGCATAAGTAGATTTCATATTTGCTGATTCGGGATAAAAAAAAAAATGCGTACTGAACATGAATATCACTACTGTTAGTGGAAACGGTCGTACGTAAGCATTGAGTGTTTTACAGGAAAGCACAAAAACTAATTGTTTCTTTATGATTTATTAGTATAATTTCATAATTTATTTATAATTTCTCTCTGGTATTTTTCATCGTAGCAGAATGCTTATATCAGTTGCAGAATACAAATTGTCATCTTTAGTACAAATAGAATTAAAAGTTAAAAATGTTTATATAAGATATTTTACACTAACAGTAGTAATATGTACTTAATCGGCATGTTTTCACTCCAAAAATGGATGGTACAAAACATCCATAAGAAAAGCTAAAATTTTGTTTTTTCAGAGTGATTACTTTTCTTGCCAGAACAAAAATATTTAAGCTGGAATTTAAAAATATATGTAAAAATCACACAGAAACTCGATACCACGGCGAGCTAGTTGAAATTCAATAGAAATAAACACAATCACAAATAAGATTATTCTTTTATACAAACGGAGTAAAAATTAATTTAAATAAACTGTATTTAAATAAACATAAAAAAATATTAAGATTATAATACAGTGCCTTGTTATATGTGCCTTGTTATGTTTATATGATATTGATGACATGCTTAAAGAACTATTGGACCACTGGAATTTCTTTCCAGTTTCCCTCGTAGTCAGTGACTCCTTTTATCAAATTATTAACATCCGCCTAATACATTGTGAATGGCTTCGTCTCATCTTAACCTACAAATTTTTATTCTACAACAATTTTCTGAAATGGGGCATTTTCTAATTATATTTATTAATTTAATTAAGTACTAAAAATTCATAAATACTCATTCGTTTTCCACTTGAATCGTAAGATAATTTGATCACAAAACCGAAAAAAAAAAAGGTGACCTACAAAAATATTGCCTCGTTTGTCCTATATAATTTCGTTATTTTGACAAGTTTGGAGGGGGGGAGTGGGAGGAATGGTGAAAATCATGCTCACCGCCCAATATTTGTAGAACAAGTAGTTTTTTTTCTATTTTATATTCTGTAGACCACTTTATTCTCGATTTTGTAATAAAATTATCTTACGATTCGAATTGAAGGCCAATTGGTATTTTTATTACCTAATTAATAGACACAGTTTCCCGATTACCAGATCACCAGAACGTCACAATTCCGAGAATTTTACCAAATGAAAAAGCTTTAGTTTACGATGATATGAAGCTATTTTCGTAAGTTTAGACGGATGTTAATAATTTGATAAAAAGGGGTCTGTACCACGGACTATCTATAAAAGATACTTTATTTTCCGAAATATAAAAAAAAAAAACTATTTCACAATTTAAGACTTATTCTTCCACCATATATACTGTTCACGCTCATCAAATTTAACTTTATCAAACATATTTGCTGGGAAACAATAATGGAGGAATAATAAGAAAGTCAAACTACACAAAGTACATTGATAGAAAGGGAGGTATTATTGAAGGAGACAATATTTAAGATTACAAAAATGGGTCTTACTCATAATTTTTGTTCAATATTCTTATCTAACATCGAGTTCATGATCTTTAATCGTTAGTTAATGTTTAACGTTACATGTACTAAGCTCACCATTATGCCGAATTATTTCAAGATTCGAAAATACTGCTCGTGGATAGGTTCCATAACTCCAGCAATATAGCGGCCTTCTTACACCTCCAGAAAGTCCCTTTTATCGTCGACCTCAATAAAGTTAATCAGTGTTTCCTCGAAAAAAAAATCTATTTTACGATGGTGTACTTAAATTTAATTATCTTGAACAGGCTTTGAGCATTTCCTTCTTATTAAATAAAAACGTGACCACCTTATGAAAAACACAAAATTGTTCTTAACTTTTTTCCGAAATTCATCGAATGAATTTTGTGCTCGAAATGTTATATAGAATTACCCTCCGTAGTTTGGCCATTAAGAACTTCATGCATTCCAAAATTGTTTATCTGTAAACACAAATTAATCAACCGAACTATCAATCATTGAAAACTGAAATTTATTATTATTTTTATAAATTTAGGGTCCATACAAAATGTATTTTAGAAATAAATATTTTTATATTGAAACAGTATCTATTAATTCTTTAGAAAAAAATATTCTACTACCTTAGACCTTTTTAGAATCCCAAATTTTTACTTAGCAGTTTATTATTTTTTTTTTCCTTTCGAACTGTTATTAACCTTATATTCCTAGGATCATTTTTAATTATCACGTGTTGTTGAGAATGAGAGAGAATGTTGTTAGAACACAGGTAGTGAGAAAGATATGTCAAGGGTTAAAAAGAAAGCTTAAATACTTGGTGTAGCATGTGATAAAATGGCAGGACCTTCAAGTGGAGTACTTAATACATAGAATGCTGAAAGATAAAACTAAATAAAACGGTGATGATAAGTATGAGGTATTATATTTTCGTTTTATCTGCAAGAATGTTGAGCTTTAAACCTATGGCATTGATTCCCTATTCAATGAGACACAATAAGTGGACGATTTGAAGGTGTTTTTTTTTTATTTAATATATTTTTATGTTTTCATTTAATCTTGCTACATTAGAGTGAATCATGTATCAAACACCAGTCTGTTTACTGGTCAAGAGGACATCCACAGATATAGATAAGGCAATAAAATATAGAAAGTATGTTATATATCATAATTTTTAATACAAGCCAAGCAGTTTGATAAAATTAGAACATTTTAATAGGCCCTGTAAGGTAAGCAAATGTGACCCAAAGAGATGGTGGGCTGTCGACTTACATATATGCACACCCTCACAAGAAACTCCTACCACACATGTTTCACAACTCTAATACCCTCCAGTGCCACATACAGAGCCCAAATATTGAATAAAAACGGGTATAACTCTATGGAATGTTAAGAAGGACAGACCACAGTTACAGAATAGTTTTAAATAAGCTTTACTGGAGCATTCAATTATTATTATTATTATTATTTTTTATTTTATTATTTTATTTTTATTTTTTTTTTTAAAGCATTTAACCTGAAGTCGGCTGCAGATTAAAAATTGTTAATGAAATTTTGACACAATTTATTCAGTTTTTGTTTTGTATGATCAGGAAAAAAAAAAATGTTATCTATTGATTTCAAAGACTTAACTAGTTTAGTATATTTTAACATTGAAATAATTAACTAACGTAAATAGTAAAATTAAAAAAAAAAAAATTAGTTTTCCTATTTTAAAGGTTCTTTTTAATTTTTTTTTTTTACTGTTTAACAATAATATTATTTAGCGCTACTTTGATCCTTGAATAAAGCTAGAAGTATAATTCCTATTATTAGTATTATAAATATTATATTATATGCTGTTATTCTTAAGGCTGTCTCAGAATAACGCTGCACTATCAAAATTTGAAAATAAAAAAATGCTGTCGTCTGTAAGAGTTTACATCAAAGATACACGTCAAAATGACTAAGGAAAATTCTTTTGTTTTGATGTGAAAGGTATGCAAAACACGGTACATCCTATGTTGTGTACACTTCTTAGTGCAAATATTGAAACCATCATTGAAGAACATTTTTAATTTTTACTCTCTATTTTTCAGAAATGATTGATGCCGAACTGAAAATATCCTTTAGTATTTGTACCTCGTCTGTGGCTGTAGCGCTCTTACTCATCCTCCGCTGGTTTAAAATACCAGTGAAGTGGCTGAGGGAGAAGCGTAGGGATCTCCTAAGCCTCCCTTTTCCCTCCACATGTGGAGGGGACAGGATTGGTTCGGAGATCACCTGGCAAAATGTAAATAATGTATATAGG